ACCTCGCCGTTTTTCAAACATGGCAGATTTCCTGTCGAGGGTACAGAAACATGCTAATGGACTTTTTTGTGCGTCACAAGTTGTTACATATGTGTAGCAAATGTAGTAGTTGTAAATCAAACATAGCCCCAATGGGAATCTGTTGAAATATTGTAGGGGGCGCCGTTGAGCCGTGTTGCATTTTACAACTTGGCCCAGCCTGACTTTTTTATTCATCCTGTCCTGCTCTATATGCCTACAAAATTGCGTAGCTCTAGGCCAAATGTGCTTTTGACAATTTAGAAGGTGGCGCTGTGGAGCAATTTTTCTATTGAAGTGTGTATTGTTCTTCCAAATTATAAAATTTTTCACTGGGTCTGATGTACATGGCAATTTTGGTGAGTTTTCGAGTATGTTTAGGGCCTCAAAAACGCATGTCTTTGGCACGAATAATAATAACAATCCAAGCAGTTCCAATAGGGTCTTCGCAGTCCATAGACATGACATGCTTTAAGTTTAGCCTGCATCAGCACTTTGAACTGGTTTCATCAGCTCGTCTCTACATAATTTATCAATGGAGAGATTTTACTATAAATAAAACATACGTCTATTTATGTACACAGTCCTGACAGCAAATGATACCACACAGAATCATTCTTTTATTTTTCAGTGACCACTGAGCACATATCAGTCAGAAATTTAAAAAAAAAAACATTTAGATATTCGCCAGTCTGTGAGAGGAAAACTTAAATCCCAGCATCTAAATGTGAACACACAGACGCTCTACGAGTAGTTTCCTTCCTTGAACAGTTTGATGACGATGGCTTCGTGCGGTTGCAGTTGGAGCGTGTACAGAGACGTGGAGCCCATTCGGTCCATCCCTGTGCTGGTCACGAACACTCCGGCTTGAGGCAGACTCCGGGCCCAGTCAGGATCCAGAGCTTGAACCTCAGGCCCGACGTTGAGCAGAATGAGGAAATGGACGCAACCCCAGGAGCGCAGGAAGGCCAGGACCGGGGGGGACGACGGAGAGGAAACAGTGGAGTTCGAGGACGAGGTGTTGAAGGGGAGGAAGGTGAAGCTGCCATAAAGGAGAGCTTCTTCTCTGAATCTGGAGCGGCTCAGGGAGGTGAAGAGAGCTTTCGCCTTCTCCTTGTCCTGAGGGAGGGAAACGTGTCAAGAGTTATATATAACCCAACTAACTTGCACATTCATTTGTTGAATAAGTCAGAGGACAGGATGCATTCAGGCATTTCTGAAGCAACAGCTGGCTTTATTACTCACCACGTGGGAGTCTGATGGCTCATCCGTCTCTCTGTGCGATGAGTCTGATTTCAGAAACACATGCTGCACAGAAGAGAGGTTGTATTTGGGATCAGCGGCTTTTAAACTGAATGATTAATGGGTTCAAATACTCAGACAAGTCCCCACCTGCGTTTGGTCGATCTCCTCGTCATATTGGACCGCAGGCGATCCAGGCAGAGTCATCATCAATACCATCAGTAGATTCTTCAAGTCATGAGATGTTTTACCTCCAACCTGCAGAGAAAAATCACAGCCGTGTAACACCACCGAAGAGCTGTGAAACAATATAGTAAAACTGCTTGTCATTCACCAAAAGATACAACAATTCATATATAGTGATGAGTGATTAATAGGAAGAATCGTTTTTCAAGCAAGCATGCCAATTACTCAGGATCTTAGCCAACTGACGTACTTGTAAAATTATATTTTCTGTGTCAGACAAAGAAAACCAAAGTAAAAATACAGCCTACATTACAACTCAGGGTGCTTTTGCATTCGTGAAAATGGTGAAATTTATGAAACTGGTGGCATTCACAGAGAGTGGTGTAAAATGATATCAAGTATAAGTTAATGTCAATATTCAGTTAATATTTACACGATATATTCTGCAGTTTAAAAGTGAAACGCCGCCAGTTAAAATAGAAATAACACCTAATGTACAGCTGTGGCTACTTTAAAGCTCATCTACTTTCCTTTGTGTTTTAGAAATTCTTATTCTGATGACTTGCTTACCGTCCAGCTGGGCCACACATGTTCTTCTCGTGTTTGCAAGTGTCTCTCTATCGCGTCAGCCACCTCCTGAGTGGACAGGAGGCGATGAGAATACGGCAGAATGGACCTCATGACCACATCCACCATCGTGGCGTTGATCTGGCTGGAGTTGTTCAGTGGACGAAGAACATCTGTCGTCTGTTTTACCACCACAATCCTGAAGAGACAAACTGGTTGTTATTCCAAAAACTATAAAGCTTCCCTTCATATAAACATCTGTCAACATCTGCACGTGTAACTCCACCTTTCCTCCTCCTCAGTGCTGAACTCCTTGAAGACTCCTCTCACCTCCAGCAGAGTCTAAAATGTAAAGATTTATTTATGAAAGCTGAGCTTATGGAAACACTGCTGGGAATAAAAAAAATTCAAAGCATATGATTTTGCCTTTTCTGAATAGGCTGCATCAGTGTCACAGATTGCAAAACCGGCGACCCCTTGCTCCAACCAGAACCGGAGTGCATGCTGTGGAAATAGAAAAAAAAAAAAGATGCTGTAATGTTTTCAGAAACCTCATCACTACAATAGCTGCTTGACCAGAGAGCAGCTTTTACCTTTACAGCAGAAACTGAGAGGTTTGGTGACTCGTCTGTGTTCCCTGCATCCTGATGTCCCGACAGATCCGGCTCACAGAAGTCTAACACCACTTTGAGATCTGCAGAACCACCATGGAGCTTGATAATCAGCAACAAAGCAGGACAAAAACGGTTCTGCAGGTCGTTTAATAAAAAGAAGTCATTTGCTCACCTGCTTTGTTGCTCTCTGTGAGCAGATGTTGGATCTGAGCCACCATACCCGAGTTTTTGCCGACGGCAGTGAGGTTTAAAGGAGATGCTTCCTTTTTAAACAGACCCTCCAGGATTAGAGCTCCGACACCCAAAGACCTGAGGAAGGGAAGCTGCTCGCACACAGCTTCAGACACATCCAACAGAGTTACTAACATTTAATCAAAGTTGTGCTCTGTTTCCTCAGATTTTCACTTTATGTAATTGTTGCTTTATCCAGCTTTTAGTTAATGTTTTGTTTTTTTATGTCGTATGCAACAGGTGCTCATTTTGGATCATTAAAGAGTCTAATATTTCAAAGCAAATACAATTCCAATGCTCTCCTAATCTTTTTGTTGCAAGCATTTGGTAACCTAAAGCATTAATGTCATGTGTCTGTTAGAGACACTTTCTTGTGTTGATCTGAAAATATATTCTTACAGTTATTGAGACATTGTACATTTTTTTATTTTTTTTGCTTATGTGTTGATGTGTAGCTTTTTCCCCACTCATGTTAGACCTCACCTTAGACTTGCTTCGTTAGAATAATTATTTTGTTGCTGATTTAAATACAGTGAATAGTCATGTAATTTTACAATTAAATGTTGTAAAGAGCAAATTATGATTCGTCAAAGTACTGTTCTGACATTATTTACAGTTTTGGCCTGTTCTTGTTGTTCTTCTTTTTTTCTTTTACAGTCATCCTGCAAAGTAGTACTTGTTGTTCTGTGATGTTACCAGATATAATCTGTAATTTTACAAAAAAATAAATAAATCAGAAATCAGGATAATAATAGCAATTAATTTTACAATGAAATGTTGTAAAAAAAAAACAAAAAACAAAAACAAAAACAAAAACAAATTATGATTCATCAAAGTACTTCTTGTTCTCGTGGTATTTATTTTTTGAAGTGGACATTAGTTACAGTTTTGGCCCATTCTTCTTCTTCTTCTTCTTCTTTTTTTACAGTCAACCTGCAAAGTAATACTTTTGTTCTGTTTCTTTGCTTTATATAATCTGTAATTTTACAAAAGAAAAATCCGTATAATAATAAAAAGTAATTTTCTGTCCTTACTATACATAGTGTTTCTTGTAAACTGTACAAACAGTGACAGTCATGCCAAATATCTGTCAAAAAATACATAATTTTGCAGAGTTCAATGTTGTAACTTTATGGACAATTTTATAACAATAGAACAAATTACCATTGATGAAAACAGTGATATTAGTTTAGGCTATTTAAAGTTTGTAAATTAATATTTTTATTTATTTAATTAGATTGTATTAGTTATTATCAATAATTTAACTTAATTAGGAAAATCTGTACAATAACAGTTAATAGTTAAAAATGTACACTTTAGAACAGTTTGGAGAACCGCGTGTGTTTTAGTGTGACTGTGTGGAGGTTTGGACACCTCCTGACCAGCAGGGGGCGCACGTTCTGATCAAGTTCAAGGAACTTCTGCAGTAGGAATAAAGATGCATATGCAAACTTTTTTAGTGCAGAAAAGTCGTTTAATCTAAATCTGACCTCCCACCAGTGTCGTGTGTTCTTTAGCCCTACCACTGATGCCCTCTGACCCCCGGGCCTCCAGCAGCACCTCCGGCTGCAGCTGGTAGAACAGGGACTTCTGCCACCAGCGGAGCGGAGTCGCCACCGGCCGGGGGCTCATGGTGATGATGGCGACGGAGATGGCGAGCATGGACACCCAGGACAACCAGAACAGCAGCACCAGGTAGCACCGCACCTTCCTCCACCCCGGACCACCGGCGGCCACCTCCAGCTCCTGCCGACTCATGGGCTCCCACTGCCGGCCGCGCTCCGGCTCCGTCTCCGGGATGAGCAGCGGAGCCTCCTCCGAGCTGCCCGCGGCGCCCGGCAGCCCGGGGCCTGGCACGCTGCCGTAGCCGGTGTCTCCTGCGTTCAGAGGCATCACGGCCGGCTGCAGGTTGGTGACACGGATTAAGGGCTTTAATTACAACATGCAGGCGGAAGTTGGACAGCTGCTGCTGGGCTGAAGTTTCTGTTTGGGTCAGTTTGTTCCTAAAGTCCAGATGGAAGCACAGCTGTAGGATTGAGCTTTTTCTGCTCCTACCTGTTTTACAAACTTGCTTTAATCACATAAATCAACCACTTTGACATGATCCAGGTGAGGTGACACACAGACAAATCCTCTGAGCATCCCTCAGCACACTGACTGTCTTACTGTTGGCACAATCAGATAAGATCAGGTGTTATTCATGCCACAGGGGAAATGTGCAGTTTTATAGCAGCAAAGAGGAGAGTGTGAGAAATTCAGCAACATCAGGAGAAAAAGAAACAAGAAACATGCATAAGAACTGTTGATATAGTGCAGATTCTTGTACAGATTTCTCTAAGTGTATAAAATAATATTCCCCAGGATGTTTCTATAAGACGCTGGTGTTGCACAGATTCTAGTGATGTTGCACTAATTCTTTTATATATAGAAAAGGAGTTTATTGTACAGAGTAATTCATTGCATTGCATTTCTGTTGCACTGGAGTTTCCCTGTGAAGGTTCAGGTTTACTGTAGGTTTCCAGGTGATGTTTTCTCTCACTGTGCAGGACATAAACACACTGAAGGATCTGTTGCATGACCTCAAACATCTCACAAAGTCAGGAATGTGCCCCGTAGGCTAAGTTAACCCACAGTTTCCCATTTTTCAGTCTGAATACAAACACCTAGATGCCTATATGTGCATTAAACTAGATTTTAGTCCTGGCAATTTGTCCTTATCTCCACGGAGGCTTCTTCTTCAATTTCAGTGTCAGTGATGGAGGACAAAATCCAGACTTCTCCTTCCTTGTATGAATTTTGCAGTTCAGCTGAAACTAAAATGAGGTCTCTGCAGTCTAAATTTGTCAAAGCTACATTATAAATGTTTTTAAGTTCATCCTGTAAGTTCCCCTGCTGCCTTAAAACTGTGAGTTCACTTCACTTTAATGAATCAGTTCAATAGAGTTAAATTAGCTGTAGCAGAAAACAAGTTCATTAACCTGAAGATATATTAAGTTGAACCAACTAGTCACAGACAACGGTTACACTCAGACTTGCTTTCTTTCTGTATTTGTTTATTTAATATTGAGAACTTACAGCCTCAGATGTTGAAGTCATGTTTGATCAGTCAGTACAAAGACTGTGAGGCTACTAAGTTGTTTTTTTATTGTTAGCGTTGCTTGTGTTACTCTAAAAAGAAACAATCTTCAATTAATTTAATATGCATTAAAAACTAAGCTAAGTTTGCATCATGTGTGTTTTCTCAGACTATTAAAAACAAGAGTCTGTAGAGTTTAACCTCTCTAGCAATGCATCCTGGGAAGTCTGCTCATGTGCTGGTTTTTGTTTTTTATGGACTTGAGTGAACTCTCATCTGTTCATTTATTCAACTCATAGTTTTCAGGCTGGAGTTGTAAAACCTTTGAGGTGTTAAAGTGGTCTGACAAACGTGAAGTTCAAATAGCTACAAATTAGCTTCACTCAAATATTTACATTGATTCAACTAGAAAAGAAAAGTCCATTTGACTAATGTCTTTCAACATGTTTAACATTTTAAACACCATACTTCTGCTTTGTTTTGCTATTCCTCTGTTGCAGCTTAGCGAAGAAACAAACCTTTTCTGGAAGTCCAAAACAAGTTTTTCCTAAATATCAAAGAGTTTGCAATCAAAAACTTTTGAAAGCGATAGGAGCTCATTTTTATCATCATCGCCTTCACTTGCATTGCAAATCTATCTCAGTGATAACAAAAAACATTTACATACACTGCCAATTTTTACGACTCCAACTCCAAGTAGTACATCAATGATTTAAAAACAGCAGCTTCACAATTATGTCTTATGAGACCATACCAACAAAACAAGGTTTTATTTTAACAATAGAGAGAAACAAGCAGAATTCAGCATGTTATAGATGCTTACAAGTTACCTGAATGTGTCTACGTATTCTATTTATTGCATTTCCTATGTCTTGTATCTTCTTATTGCAAATACTTCAGTCTGATATCTGCTTTGCTCATACTTTCTACCTTCATTTCATATTTCATTGCTATATTTCCTTATTTCCGTCTGTGCTTGTAACCTCTACCTGCAGCTCTCTTGTCCAAGTAAACACTGCATAAACTTTTCTATTAGTTCCAGTGAAATACTGACATTTACGAGCCTTACCTGAGAGCGATTGCTGGTTTAGGGGCCCTCTGGCAGTTGTAAGGCCATAAACAACTGCTCAGTTCAACTGCTGCGTCTTTGAACTATGTGAGGAAACTCTGGCAAACTCAACACCGAAAGGCTCCAGCTGGCCGGTTCAGGTTCAGACCCACAACCCTCCGAGGCAACATTAACCACTTTGTGAAAGTGCAGTTTATCTAAACAGCACAGAAATGTAGTCATTACTCACGTTTTCCTCAGTTTCCTGATTTGCCTTCTCCTCAGGTCCTTTTTCTTCGCTTCACTGCTTCTTTTTCTTTATCTTTGTCCGCAAGTGTTCCCAGCTGAGCAGAGCTGTCCTGAATATTTGAGTGATTCTGAATGTCGGGACGGAGGAGGTGAGAAGGACACGCCGTCCAATAAAAACTCCGCTCAGTCAATTAATACAGAGGTGCTGAGCCTCACCACACCCTCGCAACACATTCTGAAGAACCCATGACTGCAAAACAGAGCCGCTCTGAAGTCCCTCGTGTGTTAGTTTGGCTTTGACTTGAACTGTTCGACTTCGGTTTTTGATTGTAGAGACACTAATACAGGCTAAGAGGTGATTTAAGGGAGCTTTTCTACATTTCTTGTAGTTTTCAGAGTGTGCACTAAATGTCTTTCACTCTTGAATTGCAAGAAATTAGCATATACTGAGATTTAATATATAATCTGGTGTTGTAGTTTATGTAAAACCCTGTGGCCTCATTTTCTGATGTGTGTAGAAAAGCGAATTAGAGCTAAAATCATTACTACTAGTAGTCTTATAATAGATTCAGCCAGCTTTTGAGCAAACATGCCAAACTTTTACTTTTTTTTCTGTCTTAATGACTTAACTGGACTGTTGGTTGGACAATACAAACACTTTGAAGTTGAAGATGGACATATAAAATTACATTTTTGATATTTCACTGTTAAAAAAGGGAGAAATGAATCAACAGATGGATCGGTAATCAATTATTTGAAGCCTTGAGATGCTATGACTGCAATCAAAATAGGTCACCTCCTCTGCTGTCACAAACATAGTAGTGTCAAGTATTAAAGCACAAGTATCTACCTATGATTTTACATTTACAGTATAATAATGGAACAAACTACCAACATAATAAGCCTGTTTGCTATAAAATATCCTGCAAGAAAACAACTTTTAAGTCACAAGGTGACGTGATGCATCACACATCCCCTCCAAAGCGCCTCACGTTTAATGAGGCATGTGTGCTAATTCCCGGGAACATCTCATCCTTCTCCCTTAGTACGGCCCTCTAAACCCCCTCCATCTTGTTGTCCAGCTCTCTCCCGCATTCTTCATCCTTTTGCGTCTTCCCCTCTGGCTTTCTTCTCTTACGGCAAACACCTATGTTGCTATAACAAGTCATTGTCATCCGTGTCACCTTTACTCCTTGGCAGCGTTGTGCAAACTGATTATTTACTGACAGATGCTGCGATTCATCACGAGACTCTCTGATACACATGCGGCCGCACGTGGAGCTAAAAAAAATGAAATCAAAGTTGTTGTTTTACTGCTTCAGCTTTGCATGATGCATTGGTTGAGAAAGAGGGGTGTCAGGTCATTTGTTATCTTTATGTTCAGTTTGTATACAGTATCACAAAGTATTGTAAATGAGCTGACTGAGACTGAAGCCTCTTGCGCATTGTAGATATCTATCAATGTCTCACCAAGCATTATAAATATTATTAAATAGTTCCCATCAAGTAACAAATCACATTTGAAGATAGAGTCCAAGTATTACAAAAACCAACACGGCGGGTGTTTCATCCAAATTTCATTTTAATCGACCAGGAAGCAAATATTTATGGCTGTAGTCAAAGAGAATATATCACATGAGGAATCGTCCGCAGTTTAGCGCTCGTCTAAAATGTAAAGTTTCTCATTTAAGCATCGTGGTCTCCATAGAGACTGTGAAGCTGATGTTGACTCTGTTTCCATGGTAACTGCTTCAATTTGAGTCTTCCTCTGATCCTTCGATGTCCTGAAACATCACAAGAGTTGGAGTTAGAACTGCTTTACTTTGTACGTGTGACTTTATTTTAAAGCTCTATTGTACAACAAGTACTTGTATAAGTTTATAAATTAATTTCTGGTTCCAGCTGCTCAAATGTATGCATTCGCTGCTTTGCTTTGTTCTTAATTTACTGAACCTCTTTAAAGCACAACGAGGATGTCACCTGCAACATCATCAGTTTATTACCATAAAATAATGAAAAGTGCAAAATTCTTCAAAGCTTGAGCTTGAACCATTTGTGCAGTTTAAAAACTAAATAATGGATTGTATTTAAGCTGTAACAGTTATTAGATGAGAGAAAATAATCAAAGTTATTTGCAAACTGACTTTTATGTAATTTTAAAAGTCGGAGGTCGTGACTTGTGGTTTAATCGTTGTCAAAAGCACTGTACATTGAATGAAACTGGATAGAAAATATTAACTTTGTTGTGACAGAAGACGCATCTCTACATTAGCATCAGCTCTTACCATTGGCTCCTGACTCCTCAGAGCCATGACGTGTTTTTGATATGCAGAAATGATACAGTCTCGTCTGCAAACAGAGAAACAGTGGTTGTACATGAAAGATTTGTACTTTGAATCCCCAAAATTGATTCCATTGTAAACTGCTCAGTGTCTGCAGATGAAATGCTCACTTGCTGGTGATGCCTCCTCCTGGTGGAAGCCCAGGCATCTCCTCAGCTGCCAGGAATTTAATCACATACAGAAGGTCGGGGTCCTCTTCTCTGGACCGCATCATCTGAAGAATTTCTGTGATGTGAGATAGTCAGACCTTATGGTTAGAAAACATGGAAATAATAGTCTGAAGTGCAGAGTGTTTAGCTGCAGGATCTCACCTTCCACTTTCATATCAATCTGCTGCTCCAGCTCGGCCTCCTGCTGCAGTGCCTCCTGCGACACCTGGGGGGCGCCGGGGAAGCAGACGAGGATGATGCTGATGTTATCCAGGCTGCCCTGCAGAGGGAGACAGAGCAGGTTTAACACGAGTGGAAATAAAAGAAACAGCAGTGGTGAGTGTATTTACTCATGTGCAACTTGAAGTTCTTGTACTTTACTTGAGTGTTGTTATTTTACGTCATACCTTTACTTCACTGCATTCAAGGTGAAATATTTCACATTTTAATTGCGTACATTTGACAGCTATAGTTACTATTTTTTTGCAAATTCAGACTTCCAAAAGCTATAATTAGTATATTTACAATGACACATTGTCGTACAGTTACTGTAACTCCCCAGAGGTTTATAAAATACTTAACAATTGTGCCACCCCAACCAGTTTAACTGTTGCTGTTTATCTGTCAGTGCTTATAATTTATTAGTGGTATTTATGACACATAATGGGCACATTTACTTTTGACAATTATACTTTGGAACATATTTTGTTACTAACACTTATTTACTTTTACTGAACTAAAAATTTGAATGTAAGACTTGTATAGTGGTAGTTTTACTTTATCTGAGTCTTTCTTCCACTCCTAGAAAAAAAGACCTGTTGATTAGAAAACATAAGGTGACAGAACTATCTGTTTGGTAAGCTGGTCAGATTTTTAATATTTCAGTTGATTAGGTGAATTTCACGGGCCGATATTTTAGCAAATTAGCGTTTTAATAAGATATTAATATCCTATGATGTTGCCCTTAAGTTATGATATACAAAGGGATTACTCCCTCTCGTGGCTGTGGCTAAGTTACTGTGGAGTTATAAACATCCCTCTGTTGGCCATGACATCAGAGCTGCGAGCAGCGAGGCTCACTGTGTACTGGAACAAGGTACAGTAAGCCTTTTTAGGTGAAATAAATAGCAGCCCATCGCGGTCAGGATAAAGCCTCTGAGCTGGTGCACAAGCTCCCGTCAACACACTCACATTCAACCTTAATCCCAACCATGTGCAGCTCTTCTCCCCTCCTATATCCCATGTCCCAGGATGCCTTAATACAGCTATTTATAGGGCAGGCAAAGGGCTCGTCGGTGTTCAGACAGACAGTTTTGAAAAAGAAGACGAGCAGGAGAAATCTCCTTGCATAACGGTGTCAGTGTCCTGCCTCCACCACGCCCTCGTCTTAAAGTACAGCTTCCCATTCATGAATCTACCTACTGTGACATGACGTGGCTTATTGTTAAGTCCGGTGTGTTTGAAGTATTTGGCAGAAGTTCTGCTGAGCTAAGACTACAGCTGCATGTACACATGTGTGGGGGATTTAAGTAGCTAAATTTAAATTTCCATTCATTTTTGGGAGCTGCTGTATTGTAATCTGTGCTTGTAGTGAGAACCTATGAGACTTATGAGTCTTGAACTAACTCGCTGATCGTTAACATATTCTGTATATCTACAATCACTTAGAATGAACAAGTATTATATTATTTTGGCCTGCTGTTTTTGTTGCATTCAAATGTTTTAACACCGAATAAATTGACACAAAGGAAGGTCTCTCCACCACCTGTGTTGTGGTCAGAGCTGAAAATCTTAAGCTTGTTTCTCGGGCTGCCGCTGATGATTATTTTTAACTGTAGTGAAGATAATCTGCAGATTATTTTCTTGGATAATCATTTAGTCTTGGTGTATTTGCTCGTTCTGCCTGACAAACGGTCACAAAATGTTCTATTCTGTAGCAAGTCAGGACGTTTCTTTTAGCATTTTTGTGTAAAAATGATTTTTTATAATTATGTTATTATCATCTTAATTGTTGCCAAACACTGTTCTGTTGACAAAACTAAATAATTAATGGCGTATATCGTTCAGCTTTTATAGTATTCACCGGAATGTGTGCGTTGGCCTCCATGATGACATTAAATATCAGGTCAGATTTGTTTCTATAGCTTCAGTGAGATAGTTTCTGATTTCAAACAAAACACTGCCTGTTTTTCTTTTAGACTACAACACTTGCATGTTAAGTGTTGTTTTTACTCATCAATCCTGGAATTTAAACAACATCTATGACACATAATGGTCATAATAAAGCTGATTTAATGTGCATATTAGTTAACTATCTAGTTGATAAATAACTTAGTTTCTTCTCCATTAAACATCTGCAGTGTGTTCCAGCCTATCTGTGATTTTAGTTTAGCCGTGCTGAACAGTCACAAATGTAAAAATCGACTGTGAGAATGTTCCACTTTAGTTGTGGATGTTTGTGTGGTATTCTGGCCTGACTTCTCACCTTATAGAGGCAGAGGTCAATGACTTGGGTGCAGATCTCTCTCAGGTCGTCGCACACCTGCAGGCGGCTGCGCACAAACGCGCACAGTTCTTCATTCCCAATGGCGTCCCACACGCCGTCGCACGCCAGGATGAGGAACTCGTCTTCAGGCGTCCTCTCCAGCTCGTACACCTCCGGCTCCGGCGACACCAGCTGCTCCGTCTGCGGCCTCCAGTCCACCTCCTTGAAGTCAAAGTCTCCCAGCGCTCTGGAGACAGCCAGCGAGCCGTTGACTCTCTGCAGGGTCACCGAGCCGCCAGCGTTCTGGATGCGCTCCTTTTCCCTGGGGTTGAACGGCTTGTGGTCCTCGGTGTAGAAGACCACCTGGCCGTTGTGGCAGAGCAGCGTGCGCGAGTCTCCGCAGTTGATGAAGTAAATGTGGCGCGGCGAGATCATGACGGCGGCCGCCGTGGAGCCGCTTCTGTCCCAGTTGTCCTGGCGAGCCAGTTTGTGCATGTGACGGTCGATGTCGAGGAAGCCTTCACGGATCCCTTCCTTCACCTGCTCAGGGTCCTCGTTTGCTGTGATCCCACCTGTTGGAATAGAAGGTGAAACACTGATTTACACCTTACTGGTTTGGAGCGTTGCTGTGTTGTTCGGTACCATAAAGACTGGTCATGTGTTTGACAAGTGAAATCACATTTAACTTTTAGTAGCACTGTCCAAACTCAGAGTACTAAAACCTCCACAGCAGAGAGAAGACCTCATCTCTGTCTCATCTCTATGTTGGAGCAAAGAAAAAAAGGGCAACACATTGTTTAAAATTTGTGTTGTTGTTTACTACAGACGGATTGGATTGAAAATTATTTAATCAAGAAAGATCTTTTTCTAGGGCTACTAAACTCCAAAATTCTCGTTTTGGAGTGTTTTACCGTATGTGTTTATCATCTCTCAGTATGTATTTGCTGTGACATGTGGCACTTTAGATAATCCAACCCACGTTAGTCTCACTCTAGTTAAATCAAGCATGTTGTGTTGCTAAAACAAACCAGTTTTCCTGCTCTTCAAAGGATTTGTTTGTGCCAAATATATTACAGTTATTCAGTGTAGTTTTACATAAAGTATATGGAGGACAACACGTGTCAGAAATGCAAACATTGTATGTTTTCTGTTTTCAGAAAACTTCGCTGAAGCATTTGAAATGCCAAACTGGTTCTACCTTGCATGAGATTCTTTACAATCATTCATGAGATGCTTTGGTCCAAATAGACTTGCGGAAGGTGCATTTAAAGTCTGTGAGATAATATTTAAAATCGTAAAAAACTGTATGTGCACCCCTTCCAAACAAACAGCTTAAAGCAGTCAGGACCACAATTCAGAGCCTAAAGTCAGAATATACATCTTTAACTGTCTTGAATAATTAGATTTATCTTATTGGTCAGTACCTGTAGCCATGACATGATCCAGCAGGTTTCTGGCGCAGTACTGTGCCACTGTGGTGCCTGCATGTCCATCAAAAACAGCAAAGTATCCCCAGTCTGTCAGCTCTCCTCTCAGTTGGGGCATGCATGTGTGGGCGTCCTCCATCTGAGCCCTCCAGCCCTGCATGCTGGCCACAGCATAGTTCACCCCCAAATGGGACCCCCCCTCTGACACGTGCTTCTCTAGGATGGGGCGCTCCAGGTACGGGCTCGGCATCGAGTCATCCTCGTCCAGGTCGTCCTCCTCTCCGGGCCCCGTTTCCCTGGATCCCCCTTTGAAGAAGAAGGTGACCATCTTCTCCGTCTCTTTGACCAGCTGACGGAGGAAGGAGGGCACCTCCACGTTGCTGGCTCGCCTGGCCGTCCTCATCACGCCGCGGAGCCGGTGCTCAAGCTTCCTGCTGGACCTGGCAGCCGCCCGTCTCCTCCTGGTGCCCCTCCTCCGGCCCTGTGTTTTCCTCAGCAGGTCCAGTGCAACAGTTAAGCTGTAGCACCCAAAGCAGGTAAACAAAAAGTGACTTTAGGTAAGATCCTGTTAAATGAAAAGCTGACTTGGTTTTCTGTTCAGTAATATCAGGGCCATTTTTCCCTTTGCTTAGCTGGAGAATCCTCCTTTTAGCCTTTTTATTATTCCGCGATAAGACTATAAGGTGTCTTCCTCTGTGTCTCTCTGGTTGTGTTTCTTCGTCTCCCTCCCTCCGTTCTTTTCCCCTTCGCTCTATCAGCCCTGCACTTCCATTGGTCCGTCTATTTCCGTTGAATTATCCCTCTGCACTGCCCTCCCTCTGTCTGAGTAACGCTGCTGGATAATCACCCAGCTAGCACACATGACCTGTATGTGCACACAAGCATGGATTATGAGCATCGCATTTTACACAACATGGAGGGAGCCCATGTTTGTTTGGAGATTGTGTTTCTGATATGTGGATTCTTGCATCCAGACAACTTGCATTTCATCATTCTGCATTTTGTCAATTAGTTTCGGGACAAACGCAACACACGCACACAAAAGCCTATTAGGTTTCAAATACAGCTTGTTTGTTTTGGTGTGGGATGTTCTGACATTGTGGGACAACTCTGTGTATTTATTGTGTAAAAACTTGCAATAAGAATTAAGTTTCAAAATGTATTCTTTTGGAAACAGCAGCTGACAAAACAACCTGTGGAAGTTAAATAGTCGTTCTGAAGCTTTTGATCATATCAAGGTTTGTATGATCAGCAGCAGTTTGACTGGTGTCACTGAGGTTTAGGAACACATTTTGAAGCCAAGCTTTTAATAAGTTATGTTTTGTTAAAAATATGTTAAGAAGTCATTTGAACATCTACTTTTCCATGAAAACTAAGATTTCAAAAGTGAGATTAGTGGGTTCACCGGCTATTATTGTATGTCAGTGGTAGATTACTGTGCTGCACAGCTAAACCGCTCTAGAGAGGGTTATTGGAAAAAATTAAAGGGATAGTTCGGTTTCTTTGAAGTGGACTTGTATAAGGTACTTATCTATAGTGTGTATATTACACATAGAGGATGGCAGTCAGTATGACCCCAGGGTCAAAGAAGCACAGAGCCTGAGCAGTGTGCGGCTCTGGGCAGGGTCAGCAGCAAAACATGTATAAGGTACTTATCCATAAGTGTGTATATTACATACAGAGGATGGCAGTCAGTATGACCCCAGGTTCAGAGAAGCACAGAGCCTGTGGGCAGACTCAGCAGCAAAACATGGTTTGGTCATCTAAAAAAAGGCCCAGCTAAATACAACAATAACCGTTTAAGTGTACGCTATATTTACAACATTTTTAATGCTTTACGTTGCTGTCAGGCAGCCCTTTCCAATGGAAACCTGGAGGCTTTTAATCACTGTTGTGTGTTGCTCTCTTCAAAACCACCATTGACAAAACATTTCATTTTACCTCAGTCGCTGGTTTGCCACTGCGTGACTTGTTTTAATGCCAGAAATGTGTTTAAAGTAACAAAGTCACACAATAACACAAACAAACTTACTGATTGAAGCGGCTGTACACCAGTGTACTGTGAGGTAAAACAACTGTTTTTGTCAATGGAGTCTGGCACAATACCACCAAAATAGCCTAAATTAAACCAATAGTTATTTTTTTAGGTGGCAAAATGTATACAGAAGCCCCTGCTGACAGCTGAACCCTGCTGTCCTCCAGTCTGTGTAATGACCATCATACCGTACTGTAGGAAAACCACTGACTGTGGATAAACACTTCCAACAACCCCACTTTAAATACACTGAACTATCCCTTCAAGTCATCCTATTTATTTATGATGGCTTTGTTATATCTGATAATGCAGTGACCTAATTTAATAACTGCTTCATCTCATGTGATACCAAATATATCACTTTATACAATATTCGCTTCATGATAAAGGCCCCTGGGAAAACGTTTGATCTCTGAACTTCACATTTTTCTCTACGGCTTTCTCCTACTATGTAATCTCCTTTAGGTGTCAGCTAAAAGTCACATAAAACTAATTTTGAGATTTGGTTGTTTCTTAAAATGTCAAAAGGCAAAGTAAGTTTTTGTATAAAGCAATGAAAAGGCATTTCAGACTGTTTTTCTGTGCAAAAGAAACTCATGACGAACTACTACTGTGGAATAACACTCAATATAAATGTATGAAGTCACAGTGTTGTGTTATATGCTGGCACCTGTACTGTATGTGGCTTGCTGATTCGTCGCAGCACGACTGATGTGAATCTTAATCTCATTAGCTTTTGGGTATTTCCAGTTTCTGACCTGGTTTCTTGCGGGGAAGCCTGCAGTTTAATAGTGTTAGAGACTATACGTGCGACACTTTGTTCTTGCCCAGCTATAAGCAGGACTAAACCTTTTATCAACTGCTGCTGGTCTGCTCTGGCGGCGTTTCAGGTGAAGCAGGTTTGTTTACCTTTATTTATCCAGCTAAGTCTGAGCGTGCACACCGCAAACAAGATCACGGCGGAAGTGATCAACTTGTGACTGTCTTGTTTTAACGTGATTCATACAGCAACACGTCAGAACTACCAGCACAGAGTTGTTGAATTTAATGTGATATTTCTGTTGATTTGCAGTGAAGTGGTGCTTCTCAAAACTAATTGTCCTACCTTCCATAATAAAATAAAAAAAATAGAATAGAATAGAACTTTATTGATGCCTTTGGTGGAAACCTCAGTGAGATTGCTGATAATACAACTAATAATACAAATAAATAGAACTAATGCTGAAATTAATTCAAAGAAAAAGAACTAATGCTGCTATTATGTCAAACTTAACATTTTAAATCAATAGGAACTGAACAGAAATGAGCAAGCCAACTCTGGAAACCATCTGAAATACAACTGAATTAAAAACAACAGAAACAAGAAAATAATGAAAAACAAAAAACCGTAATAAGTCTGGTTCCAATGCTGAATATTCTTAAATGAAGATTTATTTATTTATTTTATTTTTTGCTTGTTTCAGATAGTTTTGTTTGGCTTTTTTTTCTTTTTTTTTAATTGTTCTTAATGGCTTTTAAAAGAATTTTAAGATTGTGAAATTGAGATCAGCAGTTAATTCAGACCAGGAAGCAACTTTAAAAATGTATTTATTTTTTTTGCTTTATTAACACTGCAGGTTTAATGAAAGCCCTGTCCTGTATGTACCACTTTAATTACAGTGTTCTTTACAGTAGATTTATGAGCAGTCATACAAATTATAAAATGGAAAAACTGAACTTTCACCACTTAACCTAATGTTTTTATTGCACAGACACTTTGGCCTAAAGGCAGACACTGATCTAGACCATCATTAACACTGTACTTGCATCATCTTGTTTCTTTTATTTTATTTTTGTTTGCATTTTTTATTTAAAAATATATATATATACTGTTTGCATTCCTATCTTTATCCGTGTATTTCTTTGCATCATTCACTCTTTGAATTCATCAGTAAAGTGATCCATACTCTTTACAGATGACCTTTTTTCTACATAAAGCAGAATGAAGAGGTCACACATTTTTTCTGCAACTCCTTCATATTCCGTTCTCACCTTTTTCCGTGAATCATGATCCAAACAATTTGCAGCAGCATCAGTGTTAAAGTGACGCAATACTGCCCCCTATTATTCACTACTCCTAAGGCCTTCCCTCAGCTTTATAAAACCTAAAAAGAAAAGACTCAACTAAAAGCTTTTCCTTGACCCTTTGCATTATTTATGATGCAGCTTTTCTGATTAAATTTGGTGTGACTCATTTACATGATTCAATTTGCGAAGCATCTGTATTTCTTATGTGGGAAGCTGGGATATGATCAATATTAGTGACATGGTGAAGCTGACAGACCGTTCTTGCCTTACATCCTTCTCTGTGTATATGTTCATGTTGTACATTATTAATGAGTGATTCCTCCTGCTCCTATGAGATCCTGAGATGGAAGTCACATGACGAGGGAGAGATGGGCAGATAAGGCACAGGTTAGCTATGAATGGGAGATGACAACATGCTTCTCTCTCTCTCCCTCTCTCTGCTGTAGCGTACACTACTACCCTCTGCAGCCATAACGATGCTAGAGGAGAGGAGGATGCTGGAGTGAGGCAGGGCGGGGCTGCTGAGTGACAGAGGCAGGAGAGGGAGGAAGCTGCTCCACAGACGACCGAGGAGGAGGAGGAGGAGGAGGAGGAGGAGGAGGAGGAAGGGTAAATCCACAGGACGAGAGTGCCGGCAGCAGAGGAGGGGAGGGGGGGCTTCCAGACTGGATGGGCCCAGCAATGCCTTAATGGAGCATGGGCCAGGTTTTAGGATTCTCCCACTGCCGTGAGTCTGCTTTTGTTCTGCTGTTTCGATCTGCTTTCCGTTTGTCTCACCACACCATCGTCACATGTGCATCTTCCAGCTCAGCATCTTTTCTTGCTAACTGCTGTGAGCATCGTACGTGTTAGCTCGCCTCCTCCCCTCCCTGCTCTCCCCCTGCTCCTACCTTTTGATAAACACATGGCTGGACGGACGGACGGACGGATGGACGGATGCAGTGCAGGAGCAGACTTGTTTTGTTGTCATTGCTTTGCAGATGTTTTTATTCGCTTGGCCAGTCAGGCATGTTAGGAGTTCTATCCCCCTCAGAGCTTCTGTTGTGCTTTCATGTCTGTGTTGTGCATCATCTTTTTTGCTACAATGATATCTTCTGCAGTTGAATTAAAGCAGTTAGTTATTTGCATGTGGTCATACAGATGAGAATATGGTGCCTCTGCCTGGTTGATTTATTAGCTAATGTCATGCCTGCTATCTAATGTAGAGAAGGCCTTCACTGCTGCCAGTTAAGCTCTGTAAGGAAATGAATCAATATGCAGTGACCTACAGTATGCAACTAACATTGCCACGTTCCTTCCATCTGCAGTTGATGCAAACGTAGTTTCATGTTCGGCGTTTTGTACAGAGGTTAATATTTGTTGATGGGGTTAAACACTATTACTATTATAGTTCCGATGTGTTTTCTGTGGCTTCTTCAACCACATGAAACAGTTCGTTGAAAGAAAAAAAATGACTCATAACCAAATACTGCAGTGTTTGTTGGTGCTATCATTAGTACACCTACGTTGGATGTTTTGACAGGAGTGAGATTAATGTGAGGTGGAGGAATGAAGGTTGACTTACAGCAGCAGACACGTTTGTATTTCTGTTGCTACGACTTGTTTATCTGCAGATTTGTGTAAAAAAAAAAAAAAAAAAGTTTAACTGTTTTCTTTCAGAGGAATATGGCTCTGTGGCATCCACTCCAGACTCAACTCCTCCCTGCACTGATGGTGAGAATCAGACTTTGTCTTTGTCTTTATCTTTGAGATATTTTGTCGCACAACACTTACAGAAACAAGATATTCCTGCTTTGATACAAGTTCACCCAAACACACCTGTTGTGTAGCTGCTCTGATGCTGACAGTGAAGATCCCCAGGTTGGAATAAAAGCGCCTTTTGTAGCAACATTTTGGAAGGAGACCTGCTTTTGCACTTATCAAAGAAAGTTTTGTCTTCAGATGTGACACTGTTTTTTTTCTTCCTGAGATCAGATCACACACCTGGGTGCTTTTATGTGAGATATCTTTTTATTAAAATCTAAAAGCAGAACTCTCTCCTCTCCTTCAAGTGTTGCTCCCCTGTCCAGAGTGTTTCCAATATTTGCTCTTCACTAATTCCTCTCTAGTATCTGTGCATCCAGGTGAACGCTTGTCTTGTTTTTGTCTCCATTCAGGCGGAAATGAGGAGTCAGAGTTGTACGAGCTGCAAACGGCCAGAGAGTGGTCCGACGACGACGAGGGGGGAGGCCCGGATGATGACGAGGGCCTGGCTTCATCCCCGTCCGTCTGGGGCACGCCTCGCCAGAACTCTTTCGAGCTGACTTTCTCGTACATCGCCATCGCCGAGGCCGAAGCGGTGGGAGCCTCCCGACACCTCCGCGACCGCCGCAGAGGAGGCTCCAGGGGGAGTCGGACCCCTCTGATGCGCACTGACACCCTGGAGACGCTGTTGGACTCCCCCGATGTAGACTGGGACCCTCAGGGCTTCCTCGGTCGGGAGGAGGAAGAGGAAGAGAGGAGGGAGCAGGAGAGGACAGAGGCGAGGACGGCGAGCACCGCTGTGAGGAGGGAAAGGGAGCAGCACAGACAAACTGACACTATTACAATTCAACCCTCTCCCCAAAGCCTGGACCCAGAGAATCAAGGGAGAGACGCAGGAGTCCAAAGAGACGAGAGCGTGACTCAGCCTCCTTCTCCGACCCAGTCATCCCAAATACAGAGCTCCTCACAGACACTTCAGGGTGAGAAAGAGGAGAAATGAGTGGAGAGATTGTTTTATTGTGGTTGTGGGTTTTCTCCCATGGCAATTATTTAAGGATCATAACACCAGGTCCCCATGTCAATGAATGATGAGAGAGCCATAAAACTGCATGTACAGCATCACCAGTCAAAAGTTTGGTGACTTTGCCCCGATTAAGGTTTAAAAAGCATTTTTCCTGGCTGGAGGCAGACGGAGGACATGTGTCACACATCTCTGCCTTTATGGAAGTGACCTATAGATTTCTATCCAAGATTCTTTAAATGACAAGACTCTTCCTTTTTGTAACTCTGGTAGTATCTGGCAGCACTCATGATGCCACAACACAAAGATGGTTTACTTCCAACAGATTCTTAACAGAAAACTGAATTAGCTATTTGTATAGCCGGTGGGCTAGTTGGAGATTTTCTTCATTTACGTTATTTTATAGTTTATGTGGTTGTTTGCAGTGTTCAGGTGTGTTTGACGTGACACCAAATTGCTTACCTTTTGGTTGGACAGGAGTCGAGTTGAGGAACCTTCCCGAATTTAAATCCTTTAATCTGGTTTTAGCTGAGTCGTCACCATTCCTGTTGGCACCGTTAGACCTTTATATGCCGAGAGCTAATTATACAGTCTGACATATGATGACCTTTGCGTGAATCATAGTACATATAAAGCAGCATCGAGGCAGAAAGCACAACTAAGTCATAATGATGGTATTTCTATGCAGCAGGATAGTATTATTCAGTCACCATAGCTTCACATACTGCATATTGTCAGGTTGAAGTATCTGGTATCACACCAGGAAAAACAGACCATATAACTATGAAACACACATACAACTCAAATGTTGTTGCTCTTCTTATCCAGTCTAATTACTCAAGGTACTTTCAGCTATAATAACTAGGTATAAAATGAACAGTCCAACTTATTCTTTATCGTCTTTTGTAAGTCGATAAAGAACTTATTTGAGCCATTTATTTCACTCAGAAATAGGTTCTTTGAATTTGCAGTTTTAAAGAGTGGCTTGATCAACATCAGCGGTTTGTATCAGTGGCCTTTTGCTCGACCAGCTCTGATTTGCATGAAACGTTTTTATCATAAACTGTGGATATTTAAAGTGCCCACTGTTTCAAGTCATCCATAATCAGAGAATATTCAATCTACTTGTCCAGTATTGCAGATTCAGCATCAATGACATGATGAGAACTATTATCCTGGAAAGTATTTGATATATCCAGCAAAAATTTCACAGGTACCATTTTAAATACCAGTAATTTATGCTTAAAAAAAACAAGGCAGATATTGCCGAGCAGAAAGTGCTCTAAAAATGTGATGATTTGAGATTTTCCTTTTAAATTACACCAGTATAAACTGTATTTCATGTATGATAATTGTAGAAGACAGCATATGTTACTGAAATCAAATGTAAATCATCATGCTGTTGCAAAATATGGTACAGTTTACTTTTATATAATTTCCCTTCAATCAAGCTGAGCATTTACAAATACTGCAAATCAAATAGCGTGAAGTGACTTGTGATGTCATCGTCATCGTAGTGACATCATCTTCTGTTTCCCGGCAGCAGCAGCCTCACCGACCCCTGAGCCAGAGTCCCCCGTCGCCAGGGAAACCATTTCTGTCAAGCTGCTCACATCTGTGCGACCCAGAGGCGCAGCGTCCTCGTCGCCGGCTGCCATCGGCCTAAACTCTCAGGAAGAACTGGTCAGCGATCACTGGTTTTCAGCACTTAACCTAACAGAGGACTCGATGGTGTGCGCACACATAGCAGGTACTAACGTTGACACCTTTAGCTTTCTTTTTTTTTTTTGACCTCCGTGTCTCCACCTTCCTGCCGTCTCTCTGCCTTTGTCTTGCTGCTGATGAATCGATACCTTAAATAAAGAAAATATCAGCTTTCTGCATGCAGCATCAGTTGCAGGGAGACAAAGATAGACCCCCCCCCCCCCTTCTCTGGAAGTCCTGGCTGTTCATCCTGTCTCCATAGTAACCCTCTCTCAGGATTTCAGGAATGATTGACTCATTGTAGGGAAAACATTCCAGGTATTGGCTGACTTTTTTGGACTCATCCCCGCCGATGGCAGAATGTACCACTGTTTTGAAACGGGGAGATGAGTGTTTGTGTGTGTGTGTGTGGTTTCTTTCTGTGCAGGTTTGTGGGAGTTTGTTGGCACCGTGGGAGTGAGTGAGACGCAGAGAAGTGGTGAAAGAGAGAGCTGGAGATAATATCCTGTCTTCCAGCTTGATGGCACTTTAAGTGGACCGTCAGTCAAAGTGGAGCTCGGGCTTATTTTAGTGGATGTAAGGGGGGCAGTAAACCGTCAGACTGTTGATGAATGTGCGGTCGGGCTGATGACAGAGTTTAGGGTGTCCCGAATAAAGGGCATCAAATTTCTTCTGGCTTCATTACTTGTTAAAGGGCAAACTTGAATGCGTTTTTGGCAACAGAGTGTCAGAAACTGTCAGATAATAAAATGGACATTGAATATGTGGGAATGTTTCTGATTTTCTTGAATCAGAAAATCTCTTTCTTAGATATTTAGAGAGGTGGTTGTGCTTCTTGTACTGCTGGTTGTGTTTGGACAACATTTAACATTTGAAAAGCTTCTTTTGTGAATGCAGAAAGGTGTTTCTAAAGAGCGACATAAGATATCAAAAATGTATCGTCATATATCTAAGTTAATAACTGAAACAAGGAGGGAGAATGAAATAACTCTGTGGTACAGTAACCACATAAGTTTTGACATTTTACTGTGTACTATTTCTAGATCAGCTAACAGTTTGAGAAAGTCTGGTCCAAATGTACATAAAAGAAGAGCTGTTAGTTTGTTAGGTTGGTTTCCAAATGATCCAATCAATCAAAATCAATATTCTGCCTAGATATCAGGCTATTGCAGGAGTTTTTAACTAGCAGAAGTGAAAAATGCAACATTTCAATCACTCAGTGTCAGCAGTGGGGCCACAGGGAGACTTAGCTTTGTGACATAACAGAAAATAGATCCTCAGTTCTCCTGTTTCAGGTGCAGTGACCCCTAAATATGTCCACTACTCTACAAATCCTAATCTGAGTTTAAAAAAGCAGCTCAGCTTGATTGAGTTTCGGAGTGATTTTGTGCTTTAATCAGACAATTATAGTTTGAAGGTATTGTGTCATAGTTGTGATTCATCTCTTCATGCGTGAAGCTCTTGTAGTCTTGAAGAGTGGTGGGCGGTGCTGCACACCAGATTATTTTGGGCTGTTGGGCCCGTGGACTGCTGAGCGAGCAGGGGGAGGCCAAAAACAGCTCAGAGGGACGAGGGGAGCTCACACAGAGGGACAGCGGGTGTGAGGGGAAACACTGGAGCAGCAACCAAAATGGCCAGTAAAGGTGAGACGTTCAGGATTAATGTGAAAACGGGATAAGTATACACCCATGTAGAGCAAGTTTAGGGGTTTGTTTACTGTGCTGAGCTGACGGACGACTCCTGCAAAAACATTTCAGCTCAAACCGAGCAGGAGTCGAGAGAGACGAAAGCTGCAGTTTGAAGTTGAGCGAGTAGAAAACCACTCATCGTCTTTAGTCGTGGACTCTTTAGCTTTGGTGTAGAGGAGAGGAGGCCGGGCTGTCAGGGAACTGAAGGTGGGAATCGAGCGGATTTCGCGCTTCTCTCTGATCATTTTACAAGCCGAGTCTCTGGAGACGGCGGCTTCCGTCAGCTGCAGGTGTGTTTCCCTTCAAACAGATCAGATGGAGCCGGACAGCCTCTTTTATCATGAGCCCTAATTTAAATGAGCACCTGCCATTCAGATAAGTATAAACTGTCGCGTTGTGGTATGCTGCTGGCACATAGTTGTTTCAGTGTGTAATGACTTTGCCGGCTGCATTATCTTTTCGCTTTAGTGTTTCCTCTTTAGGTTGAAGCTCTCGCACGAGCAGAGAGGTTTCAACTTGTTGTAGTGTGAGGTTTCGTGAACACATGATTAAGATGACATGAACTGGGTCAAGAGAAATGGAAATGAGCTGACACACAACAGGAATTTATCTTAGTTGTAATACACTGTATAGCTCAGTTAAACAATTACTATGCTGAAATTCCATCTTTTTTTATTCCATTCCATCATCTGTGAACACATCTGTACATAAGGTATAATTGAAATACATTAAAGTTACTACAGCAGATCAATTTCAAGTAAGTTATAAATTGCATGTAATGATAATAACAATCTAGAGGGTTTTTTTTTTTTAAAAAGGCCCACTGCAGACATTTTAACTACATTCTAACTTCATAAGATGGAGTTTAGGACGTGACAGCTTGTGTTTGGTTTCAAGAAAAGTGAGAAAAGATCAATACCACTCCTTATGTGTTCAGTAGGTCAACTTAGCTGAGAATAAAGTGTAGGAACAGGGTCTAGATATCTCTGAAAATATGCAAATATACATACCATCACCTCTTTAGCTCACACATGAACTTTTTATTTAATCTGTACAAAAATGTGTCTGAAATGACTTTTTTTTTGCAGATCAAACGAGCTCGATGCAATGAGATTCAAAGGCAGTGGCAGCAGGCTAGATTTTTGCCTCTGTTTCCAGTCCTTATGCTAAGCTATGCTAACTGGCTGCTCTCTGTAGCTGTATATTTACAGGGCAAATAAGAGAGTCACCTTCTCGTGTAATTCTCAACCTACTTCTAGAGCTCGACCAATGGGCTGTATATCTGCACTGAAATTTTTAACTCCCGGAAAATCTGTATTGTATCGCATGCATTCGGTGCACCAGAGTTATATTGAAAGGGGAAAGGAATGGGGTGATTGTCTAATAGCTTGCCAACCATGTTCACAAATTTGTTTGTAACTTACCGCAAAGACAAAACCTGACTCCTCACCGCCATCTGCTCAGCTCTGCTACATGTGCTGCTGGTATAATTGGAAACAATGGAGTCAGAGCTGCGCCAACTATGTGATGACACCATTTCTAAATCATCCCAAACATCTTCTGCTACATCATGTTTGGAAAAAAAAGAAAAGCGTCGAACAACATATACACTGATACCAATATGTGTATAACAGGCCGGTATTGGCTAATTATATTGCCTGACTTGCATATTGATCGGGTTCTAACTTGTGTCATGTGAGACCATTAGTTCAGAATAAATAACTTCAGAGGGTTTACAATACGCTCTGCAGCCTGACATGACGAATCATCTCTTACAAGCCTCCTGCAGTGCTGCTGCTGCTTCGGTGCTCCACCTCAGTGTGTTTAGAAATTCCTGGGTGAGTAAAGTAGAAGTGCAGGGGGGTGGGTAAGTCTGTGCTTCAGCGCAGTGCCAGTGTCTTTAAATACAGCAGTGTCTTCCACGTCCGCATTGTTTTTGTGCAGACATTGTCCTCAGCATCACGGTTTCTCATTGCTCTTCTTTCATTATTATATTAAATTAGTCCCCCCTGCTGTGCCTCCATGTGCTGAGTATCCCAGAATGACAGCAGCACAAACACACTCACTGGACAGGTGTGTTCCAGGAGCATCGTGGGTATTAATTGTGTGCAGTGATGCTTATAAATAACCCACCTGCTGTCATTGCACTCTATTCAAAGAGGCTTCCTTTATTCTAATGCTGAGGCTTAGCATTTCACTGAATGACAAGCACAAAGAACTGTCTGACTGCACAGTGCCGTACATGTACTGTAATGACGCCATACAGGATCCCCGCTTTTACTATGAGCCGTAGCTTTCATTGATCTGATCGCTTTTTGCAATACAACATGGTCCTTTATTAACATTTTACATTATGTGAAAAGAAAAATGTGGAGTTTTTTCTCTTTACATAACGACTCCTGTATATATTAAAGTTGTCCACTCTAGTAAAGCATGACTCTGGACGCCTCAGTCTCCACGGCAGCTGTTGCTGGGTGACAGAGAGGGAAACTAACAGGGTGTGGAGGAATGGGGCTGCTGACGACCTGACGTTTGACAGCAGGTGCTGTAAAGGCTGCATTTAAATTCTCCTCGACTGCTCACTTCCCTGTTTCATCGGAGGGGCTAAATTTAGCCGAGGCCAGAGGCTGACGTGTCCCTCGGAGCCGCTGTGTTCTGTCATGCCTGAGGCTGGAAATCCCTCTTTGCCTCTTGTCTTCCACCCTTCTGGCCTTCCTGTCCCTGTGTCGGAACTGCTGTATCTTCCTGCCACTCTTCCTCTCCCCCGCTTCACCAAAAATAAAGGAGCTTTATTCCAAAAGCTGCGGAGTTTAAGTGACGTGGCTGCAGCTGCTCAGTTATCCGTCAGTGTTTTATCTCTCACCTCGTCCAAGGCCCCTGAGGTGCTGCAAAACTGCAAATGTTTTAATCACTTTGTATTAAAATTCAGTTATTCAGCAACCACCTGTCAGCTACTTTTTTTTAAACTTTTCTTTTATCTTCTCTACCTCCACCAACCTGCTTTGTCTTTCAGTGATGGACCTGATCTACTGGAAGGACACGGAGCGAACCGGCATGGTTCTAACAGGGTTAGTGGTGGGTTTGCTGTCCCTGTTCCAGCTCAGCATCATCACCGTGATCTCCACAGTCTCCCTGGCTGTCATGTGCTTCACCATTTCAGTGCGCATCTACTACCAATTCCTCTACATCCTCAGCTGGGGTGATGGAGAGCATCCCTTCAAGTAAGAGGCTGTTTTTTTTTTTGTTGTTTTTTTTTAATGAACCTCAAGCGTGGTCAAGACAGGGAGGGAGAAAATGACAGAAAGCATGAAGCTGGGTTCACCCCATTAAGTCACAGCATGTATGCGTTTTCCAAAACAAGCACTTGGGTTTATTTAGCCAAAAGCCTTTTTAATCCAGTTCCTCTTATTATTGAGATTTGAGGTTCATTTTGAAACTTTTTTGAGTCGTTCTTTAAATATCAATCCACAATACCCCTGAATATTTATGAAAGGGTAGTTGTGTATGTTAAATTATTATATAAAAGCTTCTAGATACCAACAGGTGTGACAGGAGGCGATTTATGTTAGGATTTCAGGTAAAAACATGAATCATCGTGTTGCCAAAAGTATTTTTTGGTTTGAAGTTCCAGTAAAAGAGGCGTGACTGAGCAAAGAAAGCAAAATAAATATAATACAGAGAAGTGTAAAATTTAATTTAAAAAAGTAATAAAATAATCAGTTTTTGTCTTTTGTTTTTAACATCTTGTTTCCTCTTTTTGTTGTCTCATTTTCTCTCAGGTCATACTTGGACTTGGACATCAGCTTCAGCGGCGAGCAGGCTGACCTCTATATGCAGAAAGCCATCGTCATGGTTCTGTCCGCCATCGACAGTCTGAAGAAACTCTTTTTCGTTGGAAACGTTTTTGAATCCCTGAAGGTAGGCTTAGCTCGAAAATTAGGTTGCTTGATTTGTGTGTGTGTGTGTGTGTGTGTACTATCATTGTTTACTATCTTAATGGCCCGTCCTCATTTGTTCACCTTGTCCATAATCTTCCCTCCTCATTAAGCCAGACATTAGTCCGTCTCTGCATTCTATCATTTTGCTCCATCATCTGTCATCTTCCTCCCCCCCACATCACCCTGCTCCCTCCATCATTGGGGATGACAGCATTACTATGCCAACCACCGCTCTCGTTATGCCAGCTCACAGCTGAAGGCTCTACTCCTAAATAAGGCCAACAGTGCTGATGGCAACTGTCAGTCCCAGTGACATATTTTTGGTAATGGTTTGGAAAGCAGTCAGGAAAAAAATGCTTTCAACTTAAATTGAATAGGTACTAACAGTATTAAAGGAGGCAGTGTGCCTCGCTCTTCATATCTGTGCTGTTTAGTTCGCCTCTGGATGTGCTGTTTTTGCTGCCAGAGCCCAAAATTATATTAATAATAATCAAGGTCAAATAAATCTGACAGCATCATCTAATTACTGAAGTATGGTACAATCTGTTTTTACTGTTGCAATTTTTTAGATAAAACTTAATTGACTTTAAGTTTGTGTTACTTCTCTGAAAGCTAATTCACAAGATACCATATTTGTTAAATAACGTAAGAGGACACAAATAAATTCCTCAGCAAGTGTTAAATAATGGCTGGAGCTTAGGTGATGGAAGGAGGCAGGAACTAATGGTAACGTTGACTCCGGTCCTCATATCCACATATTGATGTGTTCTTGAAAAAGACAGACTGAATCCCTTTACTGGTTCTGCTGCAGTGCATCTGTATCTGTATGTGAGTTTGCAGGGACAACATCAACAATATAGACTAAAGCATCAGACAAATGGGTCTATTTTACTAATGCTCAACAATATATACAGTATCTGTATCTGTTTTTGAAGGAAATGCGAGTGTTAAGTTCAATATACATGCCGTATTTAGAGCCTGATCAACATATCAGTTTGCTGATATTGTCAGCTGATATTGGTATTGGTGTATATTTTCTCCCATATACACCGTTCTGTTACATAGCGTAGCACAGAAAAGGATGGTTGGGCTAATTTAGGAAAAGTGCCATCACATAACTTGTCCAGCGGGCAGCTCCGGTTCCTTTGTTTACAATACTGTCAGTACTCTGCAGCGCATGAAACAGAGTACGTATTCCATCTAAGTCGATGGTGGTGAGTAGTCAAGCTTTGTCTTCTTGATAAGTTACTGGCTAGTTTGTGAAATACATTGATGGAACATTAATAAACGCTGCCCCCATCATTTTACATGGATAATATAACTCTAACAGATATACAAACAGTATCAGTCAATATATTATTATCAGAAAGTCTTAAACCCTGAAATCAGTATTGGCCCCAGAAACTTAAAATTACTGTCTGCTTAGTCAAGTAGTAGTCAAGTGACAAAATGCTACCATGTATGTACACTGTAGCAACAGTGCATGTTCATTAATTGCAGACACAATTGTTACGACTGGCACTTAGGCCGCAACAAAGGAGAAAACACACAGGTGGGTTCAACTATAACATAACGCTAAAACAAAGTAGAATCATGAGGTGTGATTGTGAGCGTCAGTGGTGTGCGAGGGTGTATGAGTGCAGTGATCAATGTGTGGTGCATGTTGTCAGCACGAAACAAACCAAAAGAGACACAAACGCAGGAGCATGGTCAGCTGGGTATGGGAGAAGAGAGGGAGCTCTAGGCACAGCAGGCCAGCTTATATACTCAGGGAGATTGGCCAGGTGTACCAGGTTAGAAGATTGGAGGCTCCGCCCAGCCAGAAACCTGCAAGACAAGAGTGAGAGAGAAGACAGAGGCTCTGGGGCCGTAACACAATGCATGCACAAACTTCATAAAGGTATTCAATAACGCCATACAAAAAAAAATGGCTGTATATGAAGATGGATAAACCCATTTTTTGTAATGTCTGACTCCTCTTCATTTCAAGCTAATTATAAAGGTAGAAACAGGACCTGAGCTGAGATGTACCATACAGACTTCTCTGATACATGGACTGTCCTGTGACAGCACCTCCCTGCCACTCTAAATGGTCACAGCCTTAATTATGCATAACTTTAGGACTGAATGCAATTTAGGTGGTTGTGTTACATTTTAAAAAGTCTCATTGTGTACAGTAGAAATGTGTACATTGTGTATTAATGACGAAAAATAGCTACAGAGACCAAAAGTGATGCCTGTACGAAGCTGCAAACATGTTTATTTCTGCCGTAGAAATGGACATTTTAAAGTGGTGCTCTATAGAGGCTGATTTGCTTTTGGAGCCGCCCTCATGTGGCCATTCAAGGAACTGTAGTTTTTCTGCACTGACTTCTTTTTTTCTTTTTTTTTTTTTTTAATCCCCAGAGGTTACTGCTGTTAATGTAAATTCATTGGTATATTTATATATTTTACCTTTTTTAATGTGGCAAAAGCTCAGCAGTTTCTATAAATACATGTTTTTTTAATTCTTACAAAAACTAATTTTCATCCTAAATCTTACAGGAAAACTTTGAAGGTCCAACCTAAAGTCTGCAGAATCAATAGAAATAAAAAAAATACTCACAAAATCCTTAACATGGCAGGTTTTTACTTTATTTATGCAGCATTCACTAGACATTCAATTCAACTATCATGGTGCTGTCTAGTAGCAGTAAGTAAACTGTTCTGGTGGTATTGTCTATTACTGTCATCCCGACATAGTTATGACATTTTAGCAATTAACCACAGACAGAATTAACACCTTTACAGTAAACGATGAGTCAGTGTGAGCTGACTGAGCCCCTGAATCCCAGGCCCTCCTGTTCTCAACCCTGACCTGGCTGGTATGTGACATGACACACTGGTAGCCGTATGCAGCGGCGCCCAGGACAAGTTGGAGTCTCTCTCCCCATGTGAGACAGGGCTGTCCCATATCTGGGCAACACTAGATCCATTCACAGTGGCTGAGACACGGAGTGATAAAAGGGGAAACACCCAAATCCATATTAGGAGTTTAGTATGTGGAGCCTCTCCTCTTCATTAAGGGGAAAATGATGTCATGTAAATCATTTTATTGAGTTCTGTATTAGATACGCAACATAATACAACAAAGGGAAATTAGTTCAAATGTAGCATGATGGCCTGCATCATAAAGGAATGAAATTAAAACCACATGGAGCACCGCTGGAGGGTTTGTGTTTTTTGATGGGTTGGTCATGGAAGTTGAACTAACTCTCTGCAGCTGTTTCTCTGTTTCTGTTTTTCTTGGTCGTAGCTCCTGGTTCTGATGTACCTTGTGACGTACTTGGGAGACCTGTGCAATGGCCTTACTCTGCTCATCATCAGTAAGTAACACACGTCATCGCTGGACAACTGGACAACTCATTACTACATTGTTTGGCCGTCACGCTAACTCCTCTACTTTTCCATCTTCTTTCTTCTCCAGGTGTGATCGCTCTCTTTTCTCTGCCACTTTTCTACAGTCGACGTCAGGTAACAACACTTAGTTCATTATTTGTAGTGATGTTTTAATTAATCCTTCACTTCCATATCCATAAAGATATATTCTGCCTTGTCTTACAGGAGGAGGTGGACGGCTTCATTGCAAAAATCCAAGCCAAGGCCGACAACATCAAGGACTTGTGAGTATGACGCCATCTTCTGGCACAACGTTGCCATCAACACAACGCCACTGCAGGTTTTCTTTTTGAGTCGGTTCTCATCGAAGACTAAGGGCCTGTTGCAATACTCACATTTGTATTTAAGAGAAACTAAGTGCCTGCTTGTGTGATACATTTGAAGTATCTGCTTGAGAAAAGAGGACATCAAATCAGATATGTTTTATTTATGTGGCACATTTTACATCACACTTTGGGCAACTCAGATTGTTTTAAATATCTGCAACAAAGAAAATAAATATCTGCAAGAGAGCAAGTAGGAAAAAATCTGCATAATTAATACATATTTTAAAAAGCAGCAAATAAAAAATAACTTGTGAGATCAGTTTCTCAATGCAAATAAACATAAAATACAAAAATAACAAGACCACTAAGAGCAAACAAAAGCTATGAAAAAAAAAGGTTTGTCTTGAGAATTTTCTTTTAAACATTAAAGGGGAGGAACATTTGATTGAAGGAGGAAAATCAGCCTCCAGCCTGAATCATGGAACAGTTCCAATCAGGTGTTGTGGGGATGCTAGAGGTCTACAGGTAGAATCAGGATGGAGAAGTTCTGCACTAAACCCAGATGTCAGCTTGTGCATGACTTTAAAAACAATAAAAATACATTAAAATGAGGAATGTATTCAACAGGTAGCAAGTCCAGGGATCTTCGAACAGGACCTTTCTTTTTATTGGTACCAATTATTTGTCTTGCAGCAGGTGAGACAGTGAGGACCAGCCAGTACTCAGGTACAGGGAGTTGAAGTAAAGCAGCCTTAAGGAGATTATGACAGTGTTTACAGTCCTCATGTCATTTAGAAAGGGGTTGGATTTCAAACTGGCAGTGTTAATCAGCTGAAAGTAGCATCCTTTACTCAGAGAGTTAAAGTGAATTTCAGCGCTGAGTCAAAGATGACACAGGACTCCAGGCGTGAAGCTTTACTGTCAGTGGCCCTAAGTGGCTGCTGATGGTCACTGTGGTGTTTGAACAAACCAATCGTCTTAATCTGTCTTATTGTCTTTTTAGCTGAAGACAGTTTTTGACCATCCAGTACTTCAAACACTGGAGGGCAGTTTATGATCAAAGTGCCAGATTTAAAGGCAGGACATTATGTGACTCACTCAGGTGTTCAGATGTTTTCTTGGGTTTATTGAATCTTCTCATAAAGATGATTAAGTCACATCAACAACACTGTAACACAATAACAATCAAATCACATCAAGAAGGATATTAAGAAGGCCAGAGAAGTAATACAATTAATACAGCGATTAAATCGAGTTATCTGACAGCGTGAAGACCTGCTCTACGTACTGTCGTAGTGTTTGAGTCCATTCATTCATTGAATCACAGGATAAATTGGAGCTGCTGGCAACAGATTAGAGGTCAAAGAGGTTGAGACATATTATGACGCTGAATCATTTCTGTCTGACAAAGTGTTTAGAGAAGGAACATATTTCTGTTTTATAATCTCATCATCACAAATAATTTCTGACCGTCTGTGGAGGCTCTGCCAGACGTGATAGTAAAATTCTTGCTGATTGCAGCTTGTTTGCACATTACCTTCCAGCTATTGGCCTCACGGTGTACCGTAGATAGGATTGTGATTGTGAGATACAGTTAGTTTGAATAAATCAGAACACGTTTGCTTTCATCATCTGCTTGTCGGTTGTAGTTACCTTTTATGTTTGTTTATGTACACATGGCTGAGTTCTTGATCTTTTGTACTGATAAGCTGGCCATGTCATGTTTAAACAATTTGTAAATATATGTATGCTGCTTATAGCTTCCATCCATCCATTATCTATACGCCGCTTAATGCTCACTACAGTCGCAGGAGGGCTGGAGTCTATTCGAGCTGACTTAGGGTGAAGACAGGGGACACCCTGCACAGGTCACCAGTCTATCACAGGGCTACACTTAGAGACAGACAACCAAGCACACTCACATTCACACCTACGGACAATTTAGAATCACCAATTAACCTCAACATGTTTTTGGACTGTGGGAGGAAGCCGGAGAACCCGGAGAGAACCCACGCTGCACGGGGAGAACATGCAAACTCCACACAGAAAGATCCCGGTGTCCTCACCAGGACACGAACCAGCGACCTTCTTGCTGCGAGGCAACAGTGCTAACCACCGAGCCACCTTGCAGCCCTGCTAATGACTTCAACAATTTAAAGTTTAAAAAAGAAGAAAGAAAAATAGCTCTACCAATAGGAGTTTACTTTCAAGTGATAGCAAGCATCTGTAAAATAAAGATCACTTAGGCTCATTTAATTATAATCACAAAATACGTAATTTTGCAGTCAGAAATTTTAAATACATATCATTAAATTTAAAATATGGAGCTTCTGCATTAAAATAATTGAGCTTTATTTAGTTTTTTTAAGGAGCACGCTGTAATTTAAAGCAGGTTGTATGTAATTTAACTTAACATTTTACGTAGTTTGAGAAAAGAGGAAAAATAGAATAACAAAACCTGTTTAAAAATTTACAATGAAAAACCTGAATAACGTTCATTAAAAGAGTCTGCTTTCCAACTGATATGATTTCTCACAGTGGTTTCAAACTGGCTACAAAACTTTCATCACCAGTGTTAACATCTAAATGAAAAACAATCTTAACACTAATGAATTGAAATCAGCCGATGTACCATTTAAAATCACTCAACACAGCAAAATGAGCTGATTACATCTATTTTAATGGTGTAACTATGAGTTTGGCAGAGGGACAACCATCAGGATAACAGGAGATTTCCTGGTCTACCTGTTCCATCCAGACCATAGATAATTACAGCACATTTGTGTTGCATATTTCAGATGTGGGACACACCTGTCTGCTACCTGCTGGCACATTATTATGCGCTTCAGAGCTCAATATTGCAACGTCAGTGTGGTGGAATATTCTTTATTTGTTGAGTTGCACAAGCGCTAACCTCTCCTCTGTCTCTGTCCTACAGTCTGCAAAGACTTGCCCAGGGTGGCGGCCCTCCTCCTGATCCAACTCCCGGCGGTGCCAAACCCAAAACCCAGTAAACACTCATGGACAACAACTTAAAGAGACGCTACCAGAGTCACAGACTGTCACTCAGATGTCTTACTCGGCGGTCTGTGCTCGGAGCTCCAGAGGACGGAGCTCCAGAGACTGGGGGAAGGGAAGGGAGGTTATTTAAATGAATGAGGATTGCGCATGGTACTTTATACTCTAACTGTATCTGGGGTCAGAGGATGGGGTTGAGATAGTTCTTCTTCAAGGTGAAATCAAGGTGTAGGAATCCTGAATGAGACTGATTCCACAGCACAGCTCGACCTGCGTGACCATCTTTGGAAATACTGTTTTTAACGTGTAAAAAAAATGACTCAAGAAGTGTCTTAGAAGGAGCTGTAGTCCAAATGAGGTACTAAGACCAGAAATGGGAAGTTCTCACACCGACAGCTGCACCTGAGAAAAGGGAAGTGAGTTGTTAAGGTGGTTTGTGCGAGACGACAAAAACCGAACTGATCATGGCAGCATAAAACTAGCAATTAAGGATGCACGTGTCAACACATGAACATTTCTGAATATTCATTCTCATGACTGTTTATCAGTGTGAATGCAAGTATGACTGCGTCTATCTGTGTATGTATGTGTGTGTGTGTGTGTGTGAGATTCGTGACGTACAGCTTGCTGAATTGAAACTGTTACCCACAAGCAATTAAAGTCACATTTCTAATTTATTTTCCAATACGTTCTGTTTCTTTTCACCCCCACTGACTTTCACTTTGATTCACCACATCACTCATTTTTCTTTTTTCTCCATCGCTTACACCGACGGGTTGCTGCTTTCCCTCATTCCTTTGATGCAAATGGAAAGTTGAAACACAATATTCAGAAAGATGAATGAGCTCCGTAACACGTTTCAACGTATCATAAATTGGGATGGCGGGCGGTCGCTCTTTGACGGAGCATCAGAGGTGTCGCTGGGTAATTTTACGGTTTGGTAGATGGATGATGAAAGAAAGAAAAAAAAAAAAAAAAGTGCTAAGATTTTCAAATAGATCGCCTCTCTGTGCTGTTTATGTGTTTATCTCCAGCCCCTTGGATCAAACGTGTGAAGGAATGTAGATGTGAAATACAGCAGGTGCCTTTCTAACTGCAGGTTCAAGTGCATGATCTGTTTCACAGTACTTACAACTGCTCACAACTGCTTACAGCGACTTCTCCTCCCGTAACAGACCACTTCTCACATTTAACCCGACCATTGCCTTCCTGAGAATGATGTTTTGTATGTGTACATTACTTGTGTGATACCACATGTATACCCTGACAAGGTATCTTATACAGAATTGTAAGTAGATCAATTTTAGGAATAATAAAAATTATTCAGGATACTCAGCAGTTAGAGTTCACATTTCCCGGATGCTTTTTTTTAAAGCTTGCACCAAAATGCTTCCTATGCCTTATTCGTTGCATAATTTGTGTGTCTCTTGGAGAGAGCGTTGTTCAGACATAATCGACGAAACCCGAACACGACGGTCCGTTAGCCTCAGACATCTTGTGCTGCTTAGTAATGGACCTACACATCTCCCTCTGCCTCCTGTATTAGTTTCCAGCGCTAATACTGATTCATTTCTGTCTTAGATTTCTTCCAATAATAAATTTAGGCAAAGCAAAACGGAACAAATTAAACGCACTAATTTCCCTTTGTAGCCACAGGGCTTGGTATATATACTCACTTGAGATCTGTCTTGTTAAGTCATATTTAAGGAAAACTGCTGTTAATGTAGTCAAACTCATAATTTCTCATAGAACTGTCTCAACTAAGTCTAGACCACCGTATGTTTAGGTTTTTTTATATTTGCTGTGTGGATGACGGAATGAATTAAACAAAGAACTTAAGTTGGAGTTATCTGCATTGTAGTGGTACACTGATTATTTTGTATTCTTGGAAATAACTAGAGTTTTATCCTTGGAAAAATAAACACGGTGAAAGATAAAAACGAGCTTAAAGTGTGACTTTCTCAGACAGACTATGAGACTAGATGCATGTGGGACAAATTAAAGAAACCTTTGTTATTCTAACCAGTTGAAATTGCAAAATTATTGAATTCCATGCAGTTGAGGGACCTCTAGAGGTTGTAACATGAGCTCCAGATTGATGTTAACTGTACTTTTAAGAATGGATTTTTAACTTTGGGGGATTAACTGGAGAGCAGTCCAGTTGCCTTTAACTGAATCTCTATGACCTGGATGACTGAGAATCTATGCAGTTTGTTGGGATGATTTATTATGATCAGACCAAAACCAGAATGTATTCGCATCTGTTTCAAAGATGCCTCATGTGCAATGTTTGGAATTGTGGGCCCCTTAAACCTGAGAGCATTCAAGCACTTCTGTTTCTAGCAGCCAACCACAAGGAGGCGACAAAAGTCAAGACATTCCTTTAATGGTTTCCAAGTCTCCAATGTGTCTGGCAGATGAGGACAAGGAAAGGAGATCATCTCAGCTACTGGATCGTTTTAAAAAGCTATCCAATCAGAGAGTTTTTGAATTTCTCCATGTATCATGACAAACATGCCTCTTGGTTGAGAACTACTTTTATTTTGATCATTCTTCACTTTGTGGCTGCTCCTTCCAGGCTCAGCTCACTGGGTTCAAATGAAAGCAGGTCAGGAGGTCTGAGTGGGGATGAAATTTCAGCACTTTAATGTTACATGTTAAAAATGGACATCGAGGTTGTCTCCTTCTTGCCGGTGAGGACGAGTCTGGACCTGCCCGCTCCGGGTCAAACACACTGAGGTCACAGAAACAGGGTTAGTTGTGTAGTAAAAGTTTAACAAAGAACAAAATTAATGATTGGAACAATTTGATGTTAAAAGAAAACTTGTGATGTATTCTTCGTGTCTAAGCAGCCCAACACAAGTAATGCTCTGGATGTCTCAAACTTTTTCAAAGCGCATTTTCTCACCAGACATGACAATTCCAACCTGTCTGCTCAACCCTCCGCATGCTGGGAGGTGAAGTGGGTGGGATTAGTCAAATTAATCTTAACATATAAGGCCTTTGACCCGCCCTCGGATCGTAAACTGCAGAGTGCGGAGTTGTAGTCGGGATGGTAATCTGCCACACTGGATTTGAAAGCGCGCAGGACCAGAGGACAGGTTTTACGCACGACTCCCGGCCGCGATCAAAAGCGTTTGGCGTAGCAGAGAAGGAAACCTGTTCTCATGGTGGGTGCTTCATCTCTCTGTCGAGGAGACCGCGGTGAAGTGCTGGCTTTTTGAATGTCACCTCCAGTAACCATGGATTACGGTCGGACCATGGCCCCTCCGGTGCCGCCGCATAAACCCAAAGCTGCCCGGCCGGGGCAGGCGCAGGAGCGGCTATTGAAGTGCGTCCTGCTCGGCGACGGAGCGGTGGGCAAAACCAGTCTGGTGGTCAGCTACACAACGAATGGCTATCCAACTAAATACGTCCCTACTGCATTTGATGACTTCTCGGGTAAGAACAGTCAATATGTTGCTTTTTTGGGGGGGGTCATAGATTTTGTAGACAACATGAAGAAATGCAGGAATGTCACCCAAATTACTGCAAAACTGAACAAACCCAGTGTGCAGATTTAGATTGTATTCTAGGATTAAACTGAGATGTATCAGGTGAATGATGGTATTTCTAAAACCTTTTATTGTAGAATCTCCCATTTTAGAACTGAATCAGTTAGTTTGTACCTGCCTGCCAGTGTCACTAATTCCCACTGAACTCTTCTCCAACTCTTGCCTTTGAGAGCACAGACTCTCCTCCACCCCACCCAAACTCTCCCATTTCCCCCCATTATCCCCCTGTTATGATAGAAGTGTTTGTGTTTCCTGTTATCTGCCTTCCATCAGAGTTAATGTACGTGAGGTGTCCTCCCTGATGAAGCCAGGTTTTCCATTTGGCACGTTTCCACTTTCCAAACAGTCTCACTAGTCCCAGCAAGCTTTGCTTCTGCAAAATAAGGCGAGAGAAGAGAAGAAAATCCTTCTAAGGGGGTGTTTGTTTGAAACCCATCAGGTGTTGGAGTGAAAAAAAAAACACACCTGTGACCTGCTGATCACCTTTATTGATTTATGATCATCTATATGTCCAAAGCTGTCTTGTAGAAATCCACAGGTGAACATCAGCTGTTATTGTTGCTGCAGGGTACAAGATAAACTGTTGTGCAAAATGACACATCAACAATTATATCATGATTATACCTATTAAAAATGTATTTCAAACTATTCGTGGCAATGATTCCCACTAAACAACTGGCAAACTCAAGCATTTTTGTCATTAAACGTCTCCAAATTTACCCTGATGAGCAGTAAACGCACAACTTGGCCAACACAAACCCCATAAAACACTGACTGGGAACACACACACCGCCCTGAGACGAGTACTGGCTCGACCCTCCCGTACAGAACAGAGAGCGTCTCTGGTTCAGGGGTTTTGGATTGCACAACTCTGCCTATTGTTGTCAGCCTTGACCCCGGGAGCCCTCTCCTCTATACTGGAATGGGCACATCTGTCGCAACGGCTCTGAGGCAGAGATTGTCTTTCGCCTCGGCCTGACAGAGACTGATTGTGCAGTCGGGGGCCCTTAATGGTGATGTCATTTCTCTGTGCCTGAAATCACAGCGTCCCCTTGAAAAAGTTGACTTTCGGAGCAGTTATGCAACGCCACAGGTGGCAGGGATGCAGGGAAGCGGGGGAGCTGGGAGAGGGGATGATAAAAAAAAAAAGAGGAAGGGGGGAGTTTTGGTGCAGAGAATCAAAGGAGTATCAAATGTCAGGTATTAGGAAATGATTACACAATGGCAGCCCTCTCTCTCATTTTCTCTTCTCTTTACTTCTGGTAAAGCACAATGTCATGAATGCTGTCCTACTGCATGAATAGTTCCAGCAAACTCTTTGATCAGGTGGCATGACCGACCACACACTCTCGGGCTTATTGTAAACGTTTCCATGTGCCTGCTGCTCTGCGTTGTGTTCTGAAAAGAATAAATGGCCCTGTAATGAAACTCGATGTAAGATGACTCATCCACTTTTTTCCAAATCTGGAAATGAGGCCTATTGGAAGAGTCACTGGATAAACAAAATCTGCTTGGTTTTTTTTACCCCCCTCACCCCCACCACCACCCTGCCATTAGACAACCTCGGCGTGGCCGCTGCCAAAACACAGCACAGAACAAAAGCTCACCGAGCGGTCCGAGCGACAGTAAAGTGTTATGGTCTCGACAGTAACCAGCAGAGTGGGTGGGCGAGACAGAGCAGGCCGTCTGAGAGCTGGAAGAGCAGAGCAGGGGGTCTTTGTGTTTTCAACTGGCGGGCTTTTGTTTATGTCAGAGAGTATTCTGGTGGGTAGCTGTGTGTGTGTGTGTGTGCGCATCAGGTGGGGGCTTATATACAGTCTTAAAGTCATGCTGACAGCTGTGACTTATTTTTTCTGTCTGTTTCTGTGTCTACAGCTGTGGTTCAGGTGGATGGAAGCCCGGTCAGACTGCAGTTGTGTGACACGGCAGGACAGGTGAGTTTCATTTGCGAGCATACTGCATTACCATTTGGCACCATATCTGGATCACAACCCGTGCCTGCGCTCCTCTCAACATTTGCTAAACATAACCGTTTTATGAAATGTCACCTTGTTGGCCGTTTGGCCCATTATTTTGGTTAAGCTTGATATATTTCAGCAATATTTGGACAGTTCCATGATTTTTTTTAGGCATTTATTGAGCATAAATTAGGCAGAAACATTTGCTTTTTCCAGCTTCTCACATGCTTTGCTGCTTATTCCTGTTTTATTTAATCGTAAATTGAACATGTTTAACTGTGGATGTTGCTCTAATAAAATAAGTCATCTGCAGACCAAATGTTGACAACTTTCTTAGGGTCATTTTCACTATTTCTGGTGTTTTATGGATGGAAATAAATGACCAATTGGTTGTAATGTGTTTATTATGTAATAATGTTTATTAGTAACAACCTAACTCTTCTGTCAGGCACACCGTGACACGCTAGAGTTCGCCAGGTAAATTTAATGACTCATTATTATGTAGTTAAGGCAATCTTGGAAGGAACAGGTTGTGAAACAGTGTTTTCTATTTCTCTGAGGCATGAGCGGTTGTTTCATAATCAGCCTCAATAGAACCCTGCCCTGGGAGCAGCATATTTGACATTCACAAACACTGCAAGGGCACTGCCAGTTCTACACAGAATCAAAGACAGTGTGGCCATAAAGTGGAATGAGGCATTTGAACAAAACCCTCTAATGCGCGTAAAACCTCACAGCGTGTTGCAAGCTGCACACGGTGTTGAAAACTGCACACACACGCACACACACAGGCAAGCTTGGGCAAATATGGGTAGATAAAAGTCAACAAACACTTACTGTACTGATGCAACTTTAAAAGAGGGGAGCCAGTGCCAGAAACAGGTCAGGGTGTGCCCCAAACTAAAAAAAAAAGTAGAGATGAGAGAGAGTGGAGACAGAAAGACACAGAAGGTCTGGAGAACGATGATAGCAGCTGCCGTCAGACCCGATAAACAAAGTTACAGCTCACTCAGAGATGTTGATATCTCTGTATGGACCTACGTCATCGGTTCGCAAAGCAAAGCCAAAGCTCGTGTGCGAGACTCATAAGCTGATAAGTGTCCACTGCATTTGTTGGGCTTCACATCCACATGTTAGCTGCTGAAGTTCCAGATTGTTGCTGCAGATTTCAGTTGTGTTTTAAGATAAGGAGTCGGTTTAGGACATTGTTTAGTCAAGAGAGGATGTGTGCTGGAAAGGACAGGGTTAAAGGCAAAGAAGGAGAAGTTTGTTTCTGCCAACCTTAATCTGCCTACTCAAGGGTGTGGGAGGCCCTTGTAAGTTAAAGCTGTGTGGCTCCAAAGTGTTAATTTAAGAGATTTACTGCAGATGATATAAATGAGAGGGCAGGCCTTGTCTCTACTGTATATTAGCACAATATAAACACTGTTTAGACGGTTTGTTATTGAACAGGTATTGGCACAGTTCCCTTTCCTGTGATGTGACAGTGCTTGAGTGTGTTGAGGTACATTTGTTTGTGTTTAGTCTGAAGTGAAGGGAGATCATTTCAAATGAATCCACAGACATTAAGCTCTTCCTCTCTCCCTCCATCAGGATGAGTTTGACAAACTCCGCCACTTCTGCTATAGTCGGACCGACGCCTTGCTGCTCTGCTTCAGTGTGGTCAGCCCGGCCTCCTTCCAAAACGTCTGGGAGAAGTGGGTACCCGAGATCCGCCGCCGCTGCCCCCTGACGCCCATCCTCCTCGTGGGCACCCAGTGCGACCTGCGGCAGGACGTCAAAGTGCTGATCGAGCTGGCGAGGCGGAGGGAGAGGCCGGTGCTGGAGGAAGACGCCAGAGCGCTGGCGGAGAAAATTGGGGCAGTGACGTACGTCGAGTGCTCGGCGCTGACGCAAAAGAATCTGAAGGAGGTGTTTGACGCAGCCATCTCCGTGGGGCTACGGCACTCTGACAGGAGGGCACGGCGGGAGAGGAAGGTCCGCAGCACGGCTGATAAGATGAAGATGCTGTCAAAGTCGTGGTGGAAGAAGTACGTGTGCGTCCAGTAAGCGAGCAAGGATGTTATCTCTCTTTGACTGATGTGAAACTGGAACTGCTGATTTATTTGGAGGGACGGAGTTGGATGTAAGGACTTGTTTTTACGTTCACGCGGATGACCCCAGGCGAGCTGACCTGAATGACTTTACTTCAGTGGAGCAACAGTTCAACAGAAGCAGAGTGTGCCTGCCTGAGCTGTGTGGTGTTTGTGGGTTTGGGATGGTTTCACTTTGACCAGAAAAGACCCTTTGTTGACGCCTAAGAGACAGAGAGCACAAGGCTGTAACCACTGTCTGCTTCTCAGAGCCAATCTCTTGAATATGACTGTGACCAGCATGCAACCAAAAATTATGGAGCAAATAAAACGATTATGGCACATGGACTGCATATCATAAAGGAAATGTGAGCTGACACGGAGGGTGAAGAGTTGAGAGGGTGATGTTAAGTACTAAAAGTATACTTCTCCTTTTTTTTTTTTTGTCAAATTTGGTTCCCGTCTTTAGCAAAGCATTCTATTTTTATGTGTTATACACTGTAATCCAGACCCCACGATTTGCAATAGATCTAGCTTTAATTTTTACTGATTTCAAAACATGAAGTTAATATGCAAACTGCTCAGCTTAAAACCCCAAATTAAGATTGCAATTATTGTACTGTTAAATCCAGTCCTGCACCTTGTTTTCTAAATCAGAAGCATCTACGAGTCAAATGGCAATTTAAGAATATAATCTGTAGATTAATGGATTTCTCTTAACTCATTTTATTTTATTTTTTTTTTGGATTACAATCAAATGTATATGAGTATAATTTTTTTTATGAAATCACTGACATCTGGAGGATGTGAATGGCTGCTTTGAACAGTGTATGTACTATGAACTGCCATAGTCGTGTCTGTGCCACATTGTAAAGCGTTGATACAGCTGTCACACTGTTACTCGACCGGATAGAGATCTATTAGCTCCTCACTGCTACATACAACTACAGTAAAGTGATGCCACATAGCATTCATAGAACCAGCTTATGGTGGATAGGACGTCTGCTGTAGTTTCAACTTTGCCTGAAAAGCTTTTATTTGAAATGTTAAAGCCAACTTTTTGTGACTGGTACAATATTGCAGCAATACATAGGTGGTGCCACTGTACATTGCACTTATCAAACACAGTCCAAACACATCACTTAAGTCCAGCCATGCAATGGCCTTTGGACCAGTGTTGGAGTGGAAACTTTAATCCTCCTTTAAAAACTGGGTGTCAGAGCAGGTAAAGGCTTCTCCCTCCCTGCACTACACCACCAGTTCGGATGATCACAGGGTCTTTTATTCTAGTCAGGGCCTTAAACAGATAATTATCCGACTTTCTCGGTCAGTATATCGGAGCTCTCCTCTATTTTAAAATATACAGTAAATGAGGTGAAATCACCAAAGAGACTGATTCTGTGTTTGCTTCTTATTTTTCAGAAGCCTGTCATTCAGCTCTGTCTATTTATCTGTTCCTTCTGGGCCAATAACTGATCAAAGAGCAATGCAGAGCAGATGTATGAAATATCGTGTGTCATTATGTATGTTACATAGTTACCATTTATGATGTTTGTAATGTCATCGGGATAAGCCTGTGTGTGCATATATATACATATATATATTTATACACACACACATACATATATATATATATATATATAGTGACTCAGTCATCGACTGTGCTGTCCAACACTAAATGGTACTTAACAGTATGAGTGTCTCAGTTTGTGTCTGACTCTGGCATGAGAGAAGTTTGTTGAGCTGTATGAATGGAACAAAATAAAATGTGAAATATTTAAACCAGTTTTTACTGTTGACTCTCGTGGAGATACTGTATGTTATCTTGACTGTCACACAGAAATGAGGGAGCGTTTCTGAGGTCAGTGGCTGCTGGAGTGAGAATAGGTATTTTCACTATTCTCCTTTGCTTTTGCCAACGAGAAACTGGGGGAACTTGGTCTAAATGCAGTTGTTTACATCCAGGTTAGGCATCCAGAACTATTTAGTTTGCTTGATATACCAGGAAGAAGGATATCACACACATACAACTACAAGAATGTCAAGCTTGGCCATGATTTATTCTCATTACAGTCCTGTCAAAGCAAAACATATTCATTGTATAGTATAGTACACTTTTTAAAAATTCTTTTCTGGATGTAAATTAGGCATTATAATGTTATACATAGTTGGCTTAAATTGTGAGAAAACTTCAATCATGCATTGCTAGATATCAAATACTGAAGAAAACTTGAATTTTATTTAGTCTGAGTAAATAAATCAACAAATTGTCTCTGAAATGAATCTAAAACTGCATTTTTATGGAGTTGGGAAAGAGTTAAACGTGACTTCAAAGATTTAGCCTCAGAGGTTTTGTCGGCACCAAGACTTCTAACTATGCAGGATCAGATGATTATAATTGCCTGAAATAGGCCTTTCCTCCTATTCATAGTTACGCGTCTACACCACAGTATACAACAATGGGCAGAGAATGACAGTTAGCTAGGTATCTTGTACTTGTTTAGAAGCGCTAATGATAGGGTAGACAGCTAAAAGGGAGTTTTGTGTCGTCTGGCAGGCTGCAGATGAGTATGTTGTCCGGCCTCAGAGTGGGTGAAACTGAGGCAGGAGTGGTGCCAAGTGGTCTAATTATGATAGTCAGGACGGCTCCACTTTCCACCAATATTTTAGCAGGAACCCCCCGTTGTTGTGTCTCGGCAAGGCAGCCATCTTGTGAAACGTCCTGTGATTTAGCATTGTGGCTTGTGTAATGTCTACCTGTCTGCTGGAAGCGCAAGTTATTGTCTGTGGCAAGGAATCCTGAGCTGTCAGTCACGACGCTAACAAACAGGAAACACATCAGGGAAGGGGTCTGCAGATCTCTCACATTTCACTGTGAGACTGTTCTACCCTGTTTCCAGGTGTCTGCTGATTTAGACTACACTACTCAATCCAAATACCGAAACTGTCCCTGAGGTGGAAAAGTCAATAAATACCCCACTGTATAAACCAGACGAGCTCAGTGTAAAGCAAACATAGGTGGAGGTGTTTGTGTAACCATGTGTAAACAAAAAAATACGTCAATGAGCCAACATCACCAAACCCTTGAAGACAATGGAAGTCATGTGGAACTGACAAAATGTTATCATTTAGCGGTAACCCAACTGTATGCATTGGAGTCATTTCACGGTCACGGGTTCATGGCGGCAAACCAACATTTAAATGACCTTTGTGGCTCCATCAGATGGCTTCCAATGAGGCAGATGTTGGGTTTGGTCCAGTAGAACTAATCAGTTCCTGTCCATGAGGAGCTCTAGCTGTCATTAATATGACTAACATGACTACAACTGCTCATGCAGATAAACTGAGGTCAAATGTCCAAATTTCTTCATCGCAACCACATCCAAACAAGACAAGTTTGGGCTACAGCTACCAATTGAACTCTGTAAAATTATTTGCATTTTTTCCATACATTATTCATTTATTCATGTTAACAGTTTCTCTATACATTATGATTGGGAATACGAATGTTTTTGCCAGCTAACATGCGAGGATTCTTAAAAAAGTTTTCAGCCTCACATCACAGGAGAAAGATTCTTCTTGCATTATTTTTCAACACAGTCTCCTTTATCGTCGGTGCACTTGTTCCACTGATGTTCAAGCTATCCTATTGAAGAAGAAGGTCTCGTCTTGAGCCTCCAGACACTCCTCAACAGCATTTACGACTTTAACATCACTCTGGAAATGGCGAGCAAACAAATGGGATTTTATTTTGGTTTAACCAGGGGCATCTTCTTGGAGCAACAGCACACCAACTCGAAGGGCTCCTCCCCTTTTTTCTTTGACAGCTTCAAACATCTGAGGTTTTGTGGAGAATGATATGAGGCTTTTAGGTATACAATTATGCTCCAAAATGGGAGTTACACCCCTTGTTCCCGGTTGAGGCCAAGAACTTTTTGATGTACCCTTTTAAGGCACTTCACATCGTAAAGTGAATAACTTACAATTTTATGTTATCAAAAGAATCCCAAATATTCCTTTTGAGCAAGCTATTTGGTGAGCGTGAAAAAAACAAAAATCCCCGTTTCAATTTTCCAGCACAAACAACACATAGGAGAACAATACACACTGGGTAAGCCGGTGATGCCAGTAACTGCAGGTCTGACACATGCTGCTCTTTAGCCAGAGATACCTGCAGAGAGGACAAAACATAAACTACAGGAGAGAGAAGACACCAAGTTAATGATATGCAGTGGTGGTATATAAATGTATGGAGAGAGAAACAGGAGAGTTGAGAAGCTAGGTGTATCATGGGAAGTCCCCCAAGCAGTCTAGGCCTGTAGCAGCACAATTAAAGGGTGGTTCAGGGTCACCTGGGCCTGTCCTAACTAAAAGCTTTATCGAAAAACAAGCTTTAAAGACTAGTTTCTGCCTCCTGAACCCAAACTGGGATCTGGGTTCATGGCAGAGGAGCCAAATAGGTGAAGTTTCTACCTTCCAGTCTGCTTTTGGAAACTCTTGCAACTACAAGTAAGCCTGCAGTGTCAGAGCTAGGTACTCCGTTGAGACAGTATGGTAAAATGAGGTCCTAAATATATTTTGGAGCTTGGTCATTAATGGTTTTGTATGCAAAGAGAAGGATTTTTAATTCCATTCTGCATTTTAAAGCATTTTGGATCAACTGGAGGTTTTTTAGAGAGTTGGGACGTTGGCGTTTTCGGTGTCTTGCTTGATGATAAAACTGATACAGCTCTCATATATGTGTCTTTAACATGAGGCTAGAATTAGCAGCTGATTGGCCTAGCTTAGCATAAAGACTAAAAAGTGACAGAAACAATGCTCTGTCCTGCATATAACTATATGTACAAATACAAACTGTAATTTTATGCTTGGACTTTTTAATGGATCAAGAAGGTCCTAGCTTTGGAGGTGTAGTTAGTCACGTCTATCAAGTAGCTGTTCCCCCCGGTTACAGTTTTTGTGCTAAGCTAAGCTAGCAGGCTACTAGCCCAGCATCTTATTGAATGGACAGACAAGATGTGTATCAATCTTCTCATCTATCTCAGCAAGAAAGTGTATTTTAACATGTCAAACTGGTCAAAAAAAATGGTCAGAATAAATCTTAAATAAAATGTTTGTAATCAGAGAACATATATTCGCCGTCATGCTATCAGATTCAGAGAAGCATTACTGGAGTGTTACTGGTAACCACTCTGGATGGAAACGGCTGCAGAGCTCTTTCACATTACAAGGTTGGGTGAGCTAATGGTGTGAACTGGGTGGCCCAGTCAACTGCAGCCATCTTCAGCTGTAAAAACTCAAAATGGTCATTGAACTTTTCGGTCCTCCTAACCTTCTTCATTACATAACTTCTGAGAATCATTTAGGTAACAAGTGAACTCTGACTCGACATGAAAGCGCAGCTTCGTAATCAGTTTTGATGTCTTAAAGTTGATGAAGGATTTCTCTGGTACCCCTCAGATAATTGCCTGCATAATGACCAGAGCTCAACCCACGGGGCTGGATTACTGAAGGACATTAACCATGTTAATCGGGTCTGTGGGTTGGGAAGGGATCCAACCAGTGGACTGTGGTCCACTTTGTACATTGTCTTTAGGATTAACTGTTGCTCAAGCTCTTGTAATGCGATGCAATACGTCTGGGGCCCTGATTAAAAGACACCCACACATAGATTGAGCACAGTTCACTATTCTTGACAGAATTTTGCTTTCATAATACGTTTAAGACCTCAGTGTCTCTATCGTAGCCTTCCTCTAAAAAGTTACTTCAGGGATTTGATCTCATATGCTCACAGGGCTTCAGGTGTGAAGTGCTGGGTCTCTATGTGATTATGACAAACAGAGAAATGAGGGTAGTGCAAAGGGTTCAGTGGGCTTTAAAGGAGGTTGAGTGATGTGCTTTAAATAATTCCTCTGGGTATTCTGACATCACTGTGGTTCAGACTGAGTTGTGTTCGTAAGTGTGATTTCATACCTTTTCCTTTGTGCTATTTGTTGGCAAAGCTTTCATGAGGATGTTTTGATGAACGAACATCAGTCAAACAGACACCTGCCTTGTTCAATATCAGACATTATTTCTGAAAACTTTTCCTTTACGCAAAATGCACCATATACTGGGGGGAGGGATTGAAGTGCCACTTCACTAAGATTATTTAAGGAATATTTCATGCAAATACACTTTTTTATTTTTATTTTTTGCTCACTGTGGATATTTAGTAAAACTTAGAAAATCAGAGCTGAATACCGAACCGTCAGCGGGGTGGATGGAGAGGCCTGTGTGTTCCACAAAGACCCTCACACGGTGGACGTCCCCGGTATACAACAGACATTGATGCTGTATTTACTTACAGGGGACTAAAATACTGGAGACAGTAGCTTTTCACATCTTTTTTTAACCTGTGTGTCTTGAGTATGGGCGTCACAATATATCAGTGTTGATCATAATAAAAACTAAATATTTACATCATGTTAATAACAATGCAAATGCAATATTATCATATTTAATCCATCCATCCAACAGAGGAACAACATACAGTACAGTTATGCTGAAGACTCCTCCCTACATTCATAGTTTCAGTGCATTTCATTTGTTAAAAAAAAGATGGAAAATGCACAATAAAATAAAGTTCAAGGTTAATTTGACTGACAGCATTTAATTTTATTTTTTGTTAATTTCCTACAGATGTTGCAATACTTTTGTTATCAGGAATTGATTACCTTACAATAATATCGTGGTCAAAGTCTGATATGGTGACAGCCCTTTGACAACTCAAGGTTTGATTTAAA